ATAAGGGTTGTGATTCACATTCAACTTTGCTCTTGATGTCCTTGCAGCTTCCTGAATTCACATTCCATTCTTATTGCATCCTAATTCCATGTACAGAGGCTTCTAATAAAACTTTTGCTTAATATGGCTTCTTATTCTTATATATAAAACATATATTCTGTTATATGTTTCTCTAATCAGAAAATTCTAGGTTACATACCAAGATCTGGATCTATTATGATTAAACGTTTGAAGGCACAGTGACAGTTGTCAGCATATAAATATGTCAGAAGAAATGTCAGAACCCACATTCTGAAATCACATATATATATTTTCCCTTGTCCTACACTTCCCAATAGTCAGACTAAATGGTAAAAGGTCTGCTCATGACCAGAGACAGTGTGGAGCACTAGCTATAACAAGAAAAATATATTCTATAATACAAGTGAATTAGTATGGTACATTTAATCGCACTGAATTCTGGTTTGAACCTTTGTAGGTATAGTAATTTTCTATATTGTTATAACAAAAGTATTCCTGTTATGCTAGCAGTATTCTGAAGATGACAAAAACAGATCTATTACTCTGCTAAAAGAGCAACAACCACAAAGGTCTGATTTTATAGTACAAATGATGTTCTAATCCAATGTGTGGATGGTTCTTTAGGATGGAGACCTCTGTGCACATAAGGGTGTTGTGTACATCATAGCCTCTTACTTAATTTCTATATCCACCATCAAGAGACCCACATACTCAATAGTTGTTTAATGGGGACTGCACACACAATGTCAGAAATACAATACGCATTGTCAGTACCACTCATCTACTTGGAAAAATGAATTCAGCCCTCAATTTCCACCCTCTTTCGGAAAGCACTGAATGCACACTCAAAGCATGCACACAGGGGCATCCCGTTTACATCCCGTTTACACACAAAGATCTCAAGACTTGAGCCTGAGTCATTGCAAATGCAATGGGAAAACATTGGAAGATTGGAACCACCAGAAAAACCCCCCACAGCTTTCCATTTAAAGAAATGCAACAAAAATGTCTAGCCTACATGTGTCCTGATGACCTTTCTGAACATGATTGCAGTATGCACAATGCAGCACTTCACACATATAATCATTGCAGCCACATTTAGCCACCGAAGTGGGGGAGGGTCACATAACATAACAACAGAAAATAATCTTACAGTTTAAGGCCACTCTGCTCCAAATTCAAAGCTATGAGGTGGATACTGTTTCTGAAGGACAGAAGACCACTCAAGACTGTTCAAGCAATGGCCATGGAAATGGCTACTGAGGGCTCATACAATTGAAAGAGATTTGAAAAGGTTAAAAAATATTGAAGTGGGCAAACAAATGTGGAGAACATTATACAAGAAGTGCAAGAGCAAAAACCCGAGGCGTGTTAGCTGTTTACCAAGCCTCTGAAATTGCGTGGCTTGGCTAAAAGCAAAGATACATAAGGAAGCACTGACCAGGACATTCCACACTATTGTTAAAACAGGTTGCTTGATATTACAAGGCACAAGTCTTAAGTACAAGCACCATCAAATTGAATGTATTGGAAGTAGAACAGCAGCGGTACGTGGTGTCTTACTCCTTTAGTGGGCTAGTATAAAACATCTATCTAAGAAGGCTGCCACCAAGCTAAAACTGCTGCTGCAATTCAGGCCACAGTTATTGATGCTTCAGTTTCATCGATTTTAGTTGGACTGTGACTGATAACAACATTGACTTGAATGTATGCTGTACAGGCACTTTATGTTGTTATTCTGTACACTCAGATTTTGGAGTAAGAACCAGCAACCCCAGGGAAGCTTGCTTCTCTGTACACATGCATAGATCAGGTTGAGTGTAAAATGACCCAAGGGGTTCTGAACTGCAGCAATAGGTCAGAAACTAAACCCAACAATCCGACCATGTTAAATAATGGTTTAAAAGTTGATTGCACTGAAGTACCAAATGAAAGTTGCAGTCTCAGTGTCTCTCTCCTATACATCTAGGGAAGCTCTGCTCAACTTGTAACCCACCCAGTTAAACACTCGCTGTATCTGGCAGTTCATTGGGTGACAATGAAACCTCATTCTTTTCTGTTTGGAAAGCAAACATAAGGGGATTAGAGGCCACAATATATGACTGGTAGCCTGTATTTGGCTTTGTGGGTCAGGAGTTTTACAGACATGACACGAAAGATTTGTGTACAAACCCACAGTCTCACTAAATTGCAGTGCCCAGCCTACAGATAAGCATTCCTTAAACTCTCCCCCTTCATCCCTCTGTGGAACTTTGGGAACATGCTAGAGAGCAAAATGCTGCCAGGCACAGCTCTTGTGCAATTGACATTTCAAGTGAATTCATAAAGATAGCATTTATTTTTTTTAGAAAAGTAACACAATTGAGATCTTTTTAAACAATGGCAGAGTAGAAAATTTAATACATATATTGTGACATGATTGAGCTGGATGCATGGAGTGTGTTCATGTCAAACAGAACTATATATTACATGGAACTATGACAACATCAGCCTTTATTCGGACTCTTCTCTTTGTTTTCAAATACTATAGATTGCTATACAGAAGTGTTACAAAATAATTTAAATGTGAAAAGATCATAAATACTGCACATTTGCCATTTAATTCACAAGAACACTTGTAAAACAGCAGAGATTATGGTGCTCAATATAATGTGTCTTCCCCATATTTACACATTTTTGGTGATTGCAATGCATCTTTGGCATACTGAATATGACACTATACAAGATGTACATGCACATGTTCTAGAAAACTGGGCTCATCACAAAAAGTGAAATGAAGGTCAAATGATATTAGAAGTCCATGGGATTTATTCAAAATCTGAGAAGGATGCTGAATTTACAGTGCAATCCTCAGAATACTTTCCTGAAAGTAAGCCCCACTGACTAGACTTCAGTAGGATTCTGAGTAGACATGATTAGAATTGCTCTGTCACTCCCCGATATGCTAGAGGTAAGAAAACTCTCTTGTTGATCTGCTCCCTAAATGCCATGCATTAGCCATGCGTACAGTATGCATGGATCCATATTATGGACCATACAATGAAGGAAAGAACCAATATCAAGACAGTGCTTACCAGATGGCAATCCTACTAGTACAACAAGATATAGATTGTGGAATCTTCCAGATTCACCTCCAGACAGAAAGGACCTGTTTGTTCTTCATTCTATAATGATTGCTATGAAACAGAGCTGAATAGATTTCATGGCCATTCTAATGACTCACCATTTTTCCTGCACAGAGAACCTTTTCTCAAAAGCATGGAAAACTATGGCCCCATCTAGAAGTGGCTTGGATCTCCTGTGGTTTTCCTTTCCATTGCAAAGTAGTGGTGTGAGGTGGCTAATTTGATTGGGGATGTGGAAATGTATATATGAGCTAAGCTTTCCCCATGCCATTACTTCAGTTTAATTGCCCTCTGCAGTTGCTGTTAGCTTCAATATATTATACTCATATATTACTGTATTTTTCTCTCTTACCGAATTATAATAGCGCTGAGGAAGGAAGAGGCAATTTCAACAAGAGGAATGGCAAATGTTTCATCTTGTTTGGCCCCATGAATTAGGTTTATATCATAGAAAGTTGTGCAGTATAATTAATGTCTGGTGCCTGGTCTGGAACCTGCTGGAACCTTCATGGTTGTGATGATAAACGTAAACTTGCTTTGGAGACACAATTGTTGCCCATAGATCTAAAATCTTGACTGCTTCTCCACTAATAATATATGTGGACTATTCCCTTCAAGGAACAGTCTCATTGACTATGGAATTTTCTGACAGTATTTTTTAAAAACTGAAATCTATAGAAAACTGTACTATTTAGCCCATAGGCATTACATAGCCTGGATTTCTGTTCCTTAACAGCTGGGCATAACTTTCTAGATATGGCTATTTCAATATTATGTATTATTATGTCCAACATGCTTTATTTGGAGTCAGCGGTCAACTGATTTGCATAGAACTGAACAACCTGGAAGTCTGCAACTTTTGTTCTTGGGCAACAGCTGCTCAGGACTAAACGTGAAAACTGATGCTTTCAGGATTTCTGAAAATTCACCTCTAGGATTCACTGGGCTACATTCATTACACTATTAGCATTTTCACATCTTTCTTTTCTCACGTGCATATAAACAAGGCACTAAGCGGTGTAGGGTAGACTTGGCTATACGAAATGTAGTAAAATCTCAACAATGCTTGTAATTATTTAAAAACTGTATAACGTAACAAAGATACTGAAAGTAAATGGCTTATAGCTAGGTTTGCATGCATAGCCTATGCAGACTGGACTTCATAAATTTGCATGATTGCCTCAAGACAAAATACAGGAAATTTTTCTTCTAGGCAACATTTAAAATGATTACTTTCCAGCACTAAAGTTATTGGATATATCGAGATACATAACCTTGCATTAATTAGCTATCAAGAACATACATTCAGATATGAACAAATGCTTTCATCTACAAACACAAACAGATTTAACATTAAGGCAGTTTCACAACATAGGTTTATAACCCTCATAAATTCTGAGAATTTCAAACTATTTTAACAATATTTCTGAAATAAGGACTCCAGCCTTTACCTAACAGTATTGAAGTCAATGACAGACTTCAGCGGTTTAGGCCTTTGCCAAATATATTCATGAAGATTTTTTTTCTTCCTCATCTCCTCACTAAATAGCATGAGAGCATAATTTTAAAAAATTCTTCCAAATTATTAATTCTATGACAAAACATCAAGCCATTTCCAGGATACAGAAGCCATAAGTCCACAAACTTTCTTAATTAACATTTACTTTGCAAAATGTTTACTGATGAAAACTATTAGGCAGAAAAATAAATTGTAGGCTTTGATTTTTGTTAGGTTATGCAATAATTAATTTTGTATTATAATTCATGTACAGTTCACGCTATCTGAACTTTAAAAATAACCTATAAAATAACCTAAATGAATGATAACCTATTTAAAGGTGCAAATTTGTGAGGCACAAATGCAAATATATGATATGTGTAAGATTTTCCAAGTAATGTTCCATGTATCTAATGCTCATATCCATTATCTAAACCAAATAATTAAAAAAAACCCACATGCTCTCTAACAGCCAGTGTTAGCAAGCAGAGAAATACGGATTAGTATTTCTTTAATACTGAGTAAGGCTCTTATTTTCTTAAATCAGATGTGAGTTTTGTTTGTGTGTTGGTAGAGCCAAGGTGCCTCAAACCTTTTTCATACTAGCTAAACTAAGCGGTTTGAACCTTTCCAAGTTAAGTATGACTAGCAGATTAGCATCTGAGCGTCCAATATTCCCAGGTCAGGAAACAAGCAGACAAGAAAGGGGATACAAGCACCACAAGGCTGTGGTATACTGTTAAGTCCAAAGGAAACATAATATGGGGATACAAAACTCTATTAAAACAATAAGGATGTCTCCCTTTTGGCTCCTGCACCATCAATCGACAGTGCTTCAAGTGGAGGAGTGCATGTCCCACAATCTCAACCTCACAGATATCCTTTATCAACACACACACGCACACACATATACACACACACAAAATCTAGCCTGGGTCAGGACCCAGGAAATAATTTTTGCCCTTCCTGGCAACCTGCATGATACTTTTTAAGGAGACCATTCTCATACATTGAAAGGCATGGTTTTGAGTCACAGCTGAGAACATGGAACTTTTTCAGGCTATTCATTAAACAAACACTTAATGACAACCCTTGTTCCAGAAAGTATAATGTCTCAGAAAGAGATGGCAGTAGAAGAGACATTGCAATACCATGGGCCAAACTTTGTTTCCAAGCTTATATAGCAAGGAGCCTGTGGAACTCAACAAGATAGGCTTCTTGACGGCTGATCCACATTTTTCCTCCTAATCTTCTTTAGTAAGACTTTTAGGACCATATGCAAAGCAGTAGATATCCTCAACAGCTCTCGCAGCCTACTGAGCAGCTTTCGGATAATAAGCAACCAAATTTCACAGGCTAGAATTCCCAAGGCGTACAGCATGTCCTCATGTTACATGACTTCTGCCAACTCCACTCTCCCTTCACTGGCAATGACTTCCTTTTCCATACTGGCATAGGTTCTGCTTTCACATAGTTTCTGCCTGAGTTTATTGAGTTCATACTCATGTAGGATTTTTTGTGTTAAGTACTTCTCACGCTTTATTTTGGCTTTCACCTCAGATGGGACATCAGGGATCATCCAGGCAATGAAGAACTTGACAATGAAGACAACGTGCTGTGAGGTAGGAGGCAACATAGAACAATGTATATACATAAATAGGGATTTAAAGCTAAATGATCAGATATTAGCTTCCCCTTTCTCTGTCATAAGCATTTGTAATGTCAAACTGTTAGTTGTTAAGCAGCTTTTCAACACTGGGGTGAAATCTTGTTTAATGCCATTACTGTTTCGTAACTGTTAAGATTGGAGGTACAGAAATCCATAAACTTTCTAACAAACAGCTTCACTGTTCAGTGCAACAGATCTTAGAGCTACTCCACATACTAGGCTGAATCATATATGCAACAGCTTTGCTCTTCCCAGTTCCCCCGTCGTCTGAGGCATGTTCTGCAATAGTCCGGACTTGGTTGTCTCATATCTATTATTTTTATTATTGGGGGTTCCTGAAACAAACTCCACGGAAAAGCTCCATGAACTTCTAAAACTCTTTTACGATATGTGTATACATTAAAAAAAAAACCAACAACCCTAATTCCGTATTTCTGTATTCAATACAACAAACAGGACTTACCTCCATAATAATTATAAAAGCCATTTTGGCAGCCAGAATATGCCAGAACTGCATGGTGTGTGTATACTTCCTCTCATGGTCTGGTGGATATCGATAGTCCCTGTACCTGTTAGACACAAACACATAAAGGTGAAGAGCTATGTTCAAACACAGACAGATTACAAGCTCTGTGGCATTTACATTTAAATACAGCTGTCATTTAAGAAGCCTTTTGATCTTGATCTGAATGTTTTGATTTATTTTACTGTTTATAGAACACGACTATTCTAGCTGGTTAGTGCCTCTTGTTTGTACATTCATAGGAAAAACAGATTGTGGATGACATGCTGGCAGAGCAAGGTACACACAGCTTACTGCTGTCATTAGGTTATGTTTGGATAAGGTTGCATAGCATGATGGATTGTGGTCTAGAATAAATCAGGGAACAGAAACATAACACATGGTAGCATGCAGGGAATTTGCTCAAACAAACAGCTAAAGCTTAAACACTCCAAAACTGAAACCCTGAAAAGAATAGGAACAAGCCGAGCATGGATTTCTGTGACAGTTTTACCCATTATAAGGCAGTGCCAGAAATAAAGCTGCCAAAAAAAAAGGAAGGGGAATCTAATGCCCATACAGAAGATGTCATGAAGGAACGGCAGCATTGACAAGGGGACTTGTTACTTCCGTGCTTTGAAGGTCTTTGGCTGCTGAGCAGGTAACACTGACCACCGTTGGCTACTGATGTTACCCTATGTTGGGTGCTGCTACCCACAGTGAATGTGTGCCTGCATGGTGCTGATGTATCTATATACTAATAGCCAAGTTGCCCCCGTGAGTGCGGATCACTAAATCCGCGCTCCGGGGGCACTTGGGGGGGAGGGGGAGGTTTGTGCACACATGGGCCAGTCCCCACCTGTGCACAAAAATGCTAAACCTTGAAAAAAATTTCGGGGGGATGTTTAACGCCGCGCCCGGCAAAGGGGGGGAGGACCGGCCTCTCCGCCGCCTCCGCCTCGGGGAGATTGAGCGGGGGGGATGGAGGAGACGGAGCTCTTCTCTCCCCCCGCGAGTATCGCGGGTCCCCCTCTTGTCATCTCTATAGCTCTGCTGTGACACCCTCTAGTAATGGCTTTGAATCTATTCTCCCACAGGCACTTAGTGGCAGAAGCACATGAGCCACTGCTGGAACTGTGTGTACATGTAGCACAGAAACATGTGAAGCTAAATTGTGTGAATCAACACCTCCTTTCCACCAAATGCATATAGTCAGTTGCCTCAAACGTAGGTTTGACAGGTATATCGGAAAGGCTGCAGTAGAGATGACTGAAGTGAGATTTAAACATGGATTTTCATTTTAAGATCGTGGCAAAAAACTCACCATGTGACACAAAAAATTAGTGTGCATTTCTTCTTAGGATGGGATTAGATGTGATACTTCCTTCTGGCAATGTGAAGCTAAGAAAAAGCCTGGTGCAACATCATCACTTCGTGCTTTCCCTGCCCCATATTATCCCCTGAATGAAGGGTGTGATTGAGAAATGCATGAGATGATATGCCACGTTTATTTTTCTATGCATTCCAAGCAAAAGCAGGAGATGTCACATCAGGTTTTTCTTGGTTTTTATTTTTTGACAACGGCTCAGCTTCAAAGCTAGTTCTTGCTCCAATTACTTTAATCGTGGAAGTAAAAATAAGATAAAATCATCTAGAATCATTACATTCCCTTACTCCCAACACTTGGGTTACTATTTTGTAATACTACCATGTCGATTTCCATGTTTACACTTTTCTGCAAGGTTAAATCAAATCACATTTCCTTTTACTGCACAATAAAATAAACTTTTCTTATGACTAAAAAGTTCTACCTTTCACCTTATAAGAAGAAGAATAATGTAAGTGAAAATTTGAGTTTCAGAAATAATTTAATGTGCATTATGAAATGTGATTAGTTTTTTATTAAGAACATAAAAAGACCCTTGCTGGATCTGACTAATGGTCCATCTAGTCCAATACTGTCTCACACAGTGGCCAACCAGCTCATATGGAGGGCCAAGAACAGGGCACAGGAGCCGAGGCCTTCCCCTGATGTTGCCACAGGGCACTGGGAGTCAGAGCTTTAGTGCCTCTGAATGTGGAGGGCCCTTTTAGTCACCATAGCCAGGGCCAGGGCCAGGTTTTTTTTTGCACACAAGGTGACGCTACCTTCTGGCACACACCCCCCCCCTTGCGCCCACCAATTTTCAAACATAAATGCATTTTAGGAGGAATGAAAAACACAAAATTTGAACATAAGAACATAAGAGATGCCAATGTTGGATCAGGCCAAAGGCCCATCCAGTCCAACACTCTGTATCACACAGTGGCCAGAAATACCAGTGCCATCAGGAGGTCCACCAGTGGGGCCAGGACATTAGAAGCCCTCCCACTGTTGACCCCCCCCCCAAGCACCAAGAAGACAGAGCATCACTTGCCCCAGAGCCCCTATCTATACCTTGTGGCTAATAGCCACTGATGGACCTCTGCTCCATATGCTTATCTAATTCCCTTTTGAAGCCATCCATGCTTGTAGCCGCCACCACTTCCTGTGGCAGTGACTTTCAAGTGTTAATCACTCTTTGGGTGAAGAAGTACTTCCTTTTATCCGTTCTAACCCGACCGCTCTGCAGTTTCATGGAGTGCCCACGAGTTCTTGTATTGTGAGAAAGGGAGAAAAGTACCTCTTTCTCTACCTGCTCTTTCCCATGCATAATCTTATAAACCTCAATCATGTCACCCCTCAGTCGTCGTTTCTCCAAGCTAAAGAGCCCTAACCGCCTTAACCTTTCCTCACAGGGAAAGTGTTCCAACCCTTTTATCATTCGAGTTGCCCTTTTCTGCACTTTTTCCAAAGCTATAATATCCTTTTTAAGGTGTGGTGACCAGAATTGCATATTCCTAATTTCTTTTTTTTTAATTGTGAGAACAAGTAATACAATCTCTGATTTTCCTAATTTCCTAATTTCTTTTTTTTAATTGTGAGAACAAGTAATACAATCTCTGATTTTCCTAATTTCCTAATTTCTTTTTTTTAATTGTGAGAACAAGTAATACAATCTCTGATTTTCCTAATTTCCTAATTTCTTTTTTTTAATTGTGAGAACAAGTAATACAATCTCTGATTTTCTCTCTCAAACAGGAAAACACAAATCACAAAGCATTTTGAAAAATCCTGTTGATTGTGATGTTGAAATTTAAGTATCCTTAATGTTTCCATTTCAGGCACATCAGAATCTCATTTTGCGTGCCTTTTCTTTAGCAGATTTTGTCCCCAGTTCCTTCTGGTCAAGCGCTGATGCTTTAGCATGTTCAATTGAAATAGTTGCCAAACCAAGCAGTCTCTTTTGCAGTATTGTTGAGGGTATGTGTGTTTTTATAAGTTTGAGTTTTGAGAAGCTGCTTTCACCACTTGCCCCTGACACTGGAAGTGTGAGAAGGATTCTTGTTCTATGTGTGACAGCCCACTGTTGAAAATTGTGTGGCACACAGTGCATTTATCAAGTATACTTGGTGTGAATCAGTCCCTAAACTATGGAAGTTGACCCAAAGGGCAGCAGGGAACTCTGCATGCAAAGCTAGATTGCTGATACAACGTCTCATACATTTCTGCCTCAACTGCTGATCCATTTAACTGGGTGCCTCTAAGTCCTGGTGTTATGGGAGAAGGAGGGAAAAAAGTTTGGTATCTCTCTCCACATGGAAAGAAATTAAACGAAAGGGAGGGGGAGGTTCTGTTAGACTGGCCGCAGAAGAAAGCCAGTATTTTACACCATTTCTGTGAACAGGGAGGGTTGATGAACTCAAGTAAAAAAGCCCCTCGCCACATTCTCTTCCTCATTTTCTACACAGTCTGAATTGGGCAGAAGGCGCTGGGTTATTCTTAAGAAAAGCCTCTCTTCCCCAAGGAACCTTTGCAGTGAATGTTAATTGTAATGTGTGTGTGTGTGTTTAATTTCTGGGAACCACTGTCTGATTGAAAAGCAGGAATAAAATATAAATGCATAAAATGGTAACAAAGCCCTATAAACCAAGGTAGCAAATGTTCAGGCCACGCTCGGGGAGCGGGGGGGGGGGGGGGCTTTCTGCCCAACTTTGAATTTTACAGGAATTTTGAGGCAAGGTTTATTCTGGGTTGCTCCAGATCCCAATATCTCTCTTTGTTTAAATCTCAGGGTTTCTTCCAAGGAGCTCAGGGCCGCCTGTTTCTGCCTTCCCCATTTTATCCTCATAACAGCCCCGTGAGGTTGCTTAGAGGAAAAGCCAGGAACCAGATCACGGTCTCACAGCAAGACTCGTCTCTGGGTGGAGATTTGCACTTGGGCCTCTCAGCCTGGGAGTCCAACATACTCACCATTTCCCTGCCCTTGAACGGCATGAGAAGGAATGCAGCCTTGGCTGATTTCTAGGAGATAGTTTTCAGCTTCAGAGCTGGAGGTGCAGTGTGCCGGGGCAGGAGCACAGGAAAGCAGAAACGTCCCTCCTGTTGCTTCTCAGGGAGACAAAGCGGGTCTGAATTTCTTCTCCACTCAGAGATGGAGCTCCAGGGCTAGCCCTTCAAAAGCCTCTTCCGCGCTGACAGATGCAACGTCAGAGGAGGCTCCCGTGAAAGCCTCGCAGGGAACAAAGCTGGATGGGAGCCTCCTCAGCATATTGCAAAAGAGAGTGTCTGGGGGAGGCTGTGGGGGGCAAAGGAAACCTCAGACATGGCAAGGCAGAGTCGCTGCTGAGAGCTGGTGGAGCGCGGCTCTTTGCATGCTGGGAATGAGGAAGCGACAACTGTTGACCTTAGTCTTCACAGCGAGCGGAGCAGGGCTTTGTTGTGGCTGGCCGTGGTGGGTGGCGTGCCCGGCTGCTGGCCGCAGCGCTCTTCTGAGGTCTGCGCCCTAGGCGGCCGCCTAGGTTGGCCTAATGGTAGATCCGGCCTTGACCATGGCCTATCCTCCATAAATCCATTTAATCCCCATTTAAAGTCATCTATGCCTTAAAGGGGAATTAGACAGATTCAATAAGAAAACCTATGTATAAAATATACAAGGTATTAAGTACAACTAACCTGCAGGTATCATAGTGTTCTGTAGATTGTTCAGGTTTGTTTGCGTCAGAAAAGTCTGAGGTTTGGAATATGGACAGACTGCTGTTAATGTATCCCGACATGGGTGAATTAGGGTCTGTATAATAGGCATAATAGTAAACTAATCGAGGGATCATATCAGATGTGAAGGCTACAATGAATGCCTGAAAGAAAGAAATACACTGTGTTAAGTTTCACCAGCCTTCACTTGATATTTTCTGTGAATAAAGTATCCACTTATCAATAATTAGCAAAAGGAAATTTGCTTTGAAACTGGGTACATAGCATTTTCAATGTCTATACTAACCTTGCAAATAAGTTAAAAAAATTATTTGCCAATGTCTGTCTGTCTGTCTGTCTATCTATCTATCTATTTTAAAAGCCTGGCTGTCCACATACACCCTGTTAGCTATTGATTGCCTCCAATAAAACAAACAAACAAAAATGAATTTTGAAATACTTCATTGCTTGGTCACTAGACAGAAGTTCTTCCTTGCCTTGGGTGATGAGAAACAGGATCATTTACAAGCCTGGACATAGCAAATTTACCATGATCACAGTTTCCAAAAATCAAGTAGGTCCCATCAGGGCTTTCAGCAAATGTCACAAGATGAATTTGGATCCTACAGATCTGTTCTTTTAATGGTGGTACTTTCCTCCAATGCAAGAAGCCATCCCCTGATTCAAGAGGCTGTTCCATCAGTGGATGATCATCTTGTGTCAGGAGAAAGCTCCTTGCATTGGAGAACAGTATTATTGACAAAATAAAGATTGTGGAGAGGATGTAAGTAACTGTGATAATTATTCTGATAAATGAACACTTCCTTTTTACCTACAGGCTGACATTTAAAAAATTAGTTATTAAGGAATGGTGAATGGAGCAGACTGTGCTTTACACATAGCCCCAGAATCCAAGAGTTGCAAAACACCAGGTCACCAAAGAGACAAGTAACCCAGCTTTTAAGAGCCAACCTTGATATATGAATGGCTCATCAACAGATCAGTTCTTAAAAACAAAATGGGGTACAGGATGTTCCTATCAAATAGCTGTCTTGGTTTCTGTCATTATGAAAGACAATGGATCACCAGTTCTGAGCCACACCCACTCATGAACTCATGTTAATTTCTACTAGGGTGGGGGTCACAGGTTAAAAGTAAATAAAGTAGGAAGTCACAATCTAACTAAAGCAGTTTAAGCAACTAACTTGTTTCATTTGTTTTAGCAGGAAATAAGAGCCCAGCATGGTAAACTAATCTTTATTTTAGCAGGATATAAGAGCCCAGCATGGTAAACTAATCTTTATTTACCAGAAAAAAATCTAATTTTGTTAAAATGCTGAGAACAGCCACTTTACAGAACTACAAATACCATGATTTTCTGGAAAAAACCTTGGAATATTAAAACAGTTTACACTCTAGTATAGAAATTCCATAATTATTTTCTAAAAAAGATTTTTCAAATAAAATTGATTTTGTTACTTACATTTGTGACAACTGACAAGATTGCCATTCCATTTAAAATTTCTTGCCAAATACCTATGCTATGGGCTTTAGCTGCCACTGGCCTTCTAAATTGTGTTGTAAGTTTCCAGGAATCAACTCTAATCTCCAAGATATTGTTCATCAGAGCAAGTAGCGGGGCCAATGGAAAAGAGGCCACAAACAGAGTAATGAATCCAAACTGAATAACTAGACAAATAAAGAGAAAAATAAAGGCAGACGATTGAATGAAACTTAAGAGAAAATATGTTTGAACTGATCACAGTAATGAACATGTTGGAACATTCAGAATACATAAAGCAGTTTTGGGAAGAAACATTAGTGGGAGTGAAAATATTGAGCTGGATCATATGAGAGGCACATGCATTTTTTAAATACACATAAATGTGTCTGGAGGCAGATCCCTGTTGGCAGGGAGGACAAGGGCAGTGGCTTCAGAGGCTGTCCCTGGTGCTGTGCCACGGGAAGAGGCACTGGGGCTCCTTGGGGGGGGGGAGCTGGACCCGGAGACTGTGGCTGCTGCAGCTCTTGCCCTGGAGTCTTTGATTGGATTAGCAGGCGCCCCCCCCCCCAGCCCTCTCCCTAAAAAGTCCTTAGCTACAGGGCTGCCTGACAGTCTCATTCTCAATCTTGTGCCCAAGAAAGTCTCTGTGGAAAGAGGAAGGACCTGGGTGACTCCAGCTATTAAAAACCTTAATAGGGACTGCTACAGGGAATATGAATGAGAGACAGGGAGAAATGGGGGGGGATGTAGAGATGGTTAGGAAGTAATGAGAGATTTAAAACTGTCTTGAGCCTCCATAATCAAATACGATTAATAAACAGGAAATATGGTAAAACACTGTTTTTCGGTTCTCTTCTAGCCTTTACTTTCCACAGATGAATATTCAGTTATACAAGAAGCGGGGACCCGCGATACTCGGGGGGGGGGAGAAGGAGCTCCACGTGGAAGAGGAGGAAGCAGCCACAGGTGAGCCTTCTTCCCCGCACCGACAGCAAGGCCTGGGCCCGCCGATCCTTCTCCCCTGCCCCCACCATTGGCGGTGAGCCACGTGGGCCTGCCGAGCCTTCTCCTGCTCCCCCCGGGCACCAGCAGCGAGGCCCGAGTGGCTCCCAGCCACCGGGCCCGCCGAGCCTCCCCCCACAATGGCCAGAGCATTATCTGTGCATGCGCAGGGAATGCTTTTACTTTGGGGGGGGCTTTAAATATTCCCCATATATTTTTTCAACTTTTTAGATTTTTCTGCACACCTGGGGACTGCTCCAAGTGTGCAGGAAAATCTCTCTGCCCCCCAAGTGCCCCCGATGTGCGGATTTAGATATCCGCACGGAGGAGGCAACTTGGCTATTAGATATATAGATGGTTCCATTTCATATATGGAACACATTTTGTAGTGTGTTTTTTTTTACTCTATGGTGAATTCAAATAAATGAAATAATATCTTGAAGTATACTGAAGCCAATTAAACAATGCTAGTATTTATTTATGCAATGCCTCCTGACTGAGGATAAAGCTATTATTAATATTTATAAAACTCTTGTAACACTGTTGTGCTTTTCATTGATTCCAATAGACCTTAATTTCTGATTGTTTTAGAAACTATACTTGTTAGTTACCATGTGCCCTCTGTTGGCTGTTCTGTGTAATCACAACACAAACAGCTGCTGGCTTTAAATTTCCTGCTTAAGTATATTATCTCTGCACACTGCAACATTAGAGAAAGCTACGCCTTTTATTGTGTTATCATGGGAAGAACTGCAATTTTTACTATGCCCAGCTGTGTGCAAGTTACAAAGACTGATTTTGTAGTGAATGGCTGTTAAAATTCATCTCATTTCATATTCCATCACACAACATATCAAAATATTAATAATTAGGCAACCATTTTTTGTGCTCAAATTATCAGTGCTTTTTTCATGTCATGTCACAGGGTATCCATAAATGCTGCCTCGTTTACAAATCGCTTGAATTGCACAGAAACTTCATACCGTAGTTCCACCATCTAGTCCACACAACTATTTCTGCATGTGGCTATGGGCACATGGGGGCTCGAGCATGGGTACATGTAAACCCCCCTACTGCTTACTGATGAAAAATGGAAAAGAAGGAGATATATCAGTATCAGTACACAAGGAACAAGATTTCCATGCACTGTGCTTACCCATTTCTAGGTATTCGTAGAATAGTCCCAAGGGTCCAAAGGTCTGCAGATCGTGGTCATGTTCCCATCGACTGTACAGATTCTCTGGGCTGCTCCCAGCTCTCCGACGGCCCCACCAATTCCAGATCCACCTGGGGGGAAAAACATACAGTGGGCAGGGACAGAAAACAGAACAGTAGAAGACAGAATCATGTGATAACCCCCCCAAAGCACTCCTCACAAAAAAGTGCTGGAAATGTCCTGCTCATGGGATACTGAATTTGCCTAAAAATTTGAACCTAGGACTTAGGCATAGTGTCATTTTTCCAGACATTTGCCATCCCTAAATCCGAAATTCATGAAATCTGAACTATTAATCTTGTTACGGATCTTACAATGGAAACCTTTTACAAACACCATGGGACTGATTCTGCAAAAGCAGTTGTTCCGCCCTTGCTCTCCCGTTTCCCCCAGTTGTACTGCTCAAATTCCCACTATTTGCTGTGCAGCCACGTTTTGACCTGCATCTCCCCCTGATTTTCCCATCTTCTTGATCCTTATTTTTTAGGATTAAGAGGACATGGGGGTAATCAGGGGGAGGTGCGGGTCAAAACACGGCTGCGCAGCAACTAGTGGGAAATTGAGCAGTACAACCGGGGGGGAATGGGAGACCGAGGGCGGAACAACTGCTTTTGCGGAATCAGTGTAATTCTCCTTACATGACTATTATGAACACTGTTAGAACTAATATCACACCTACCTCCTCTAATTAATTTATACTCTGATGCTTTATCAAGCAGATTTATTTTTGAGAGATTTTGAGAGATTTCCCATCCTATATGCAGATGGCAGGCTGTCATCACAACTTACTGGGGGTGAGATAACTTGCCTACAGGTGGTGAATGTGACTCTATTATTACTCTGAGCATAGTGAAAGAGGGGATACTGCTCAAATTAATTTTGGATATTTCTTCAAAGTAGTCTCAGCATCACTTACGGTAAAACAGCTTCCTGGACATTCCCCCAGATCTGTTTGCCAGCCATGATAATGGTAAGCTGTGTTGTTAGTTCTATTAAGCATCCTGCAGGATCACACTGATAAAAGAAACAAAAGCAAAATGCAATTGGTCGGAAAAACATACAGGCTTGGGTCTTATACTTTCTATCTGCTTGCTCTCTATACCACGTAGACTTGGATCATATACCTTCTTTCCACTCACAACAGGCACTTTCCAGTTCCATGAAAGTGATTGTCCTTGCATTACTGGAAATGCCTAGCATCAGAGGAACATGCACACCAGAGTTGAACACTGTCTCTGCAACCAACTAAGAGGAGTTGTCCAAGTAGAAGGAAGGAATAAGATCCAAGACACAATGTTAAAAGAGAAAGCAGGAACTGGGTTTTAAAAATATGTGTTGGAAGTTGGGTGGGAAAGTATTTTGTTCCTGTGAGGGAACCATAGGAGGTGTCTGAGAGGAATGATTTCGGGGGGGGGGGGAGAAGGGGGGATGAAGCCATCTGAAGAGGAGCTTGTGCAGAGAACAGTGTAGTAGGGTTGCCAAGTCTATTTACCTTGGTGGCGGGGGAGCCTCACCGGGAGCTGTCGGAGGACGTGCGCGCGCGCGCGCGCCGCCAGGACATCACCGGAAGTGATGCACGACGTCGACATGTTGAGGGCGTGGCCCCAATCGTCGGAGGGAAAACCATAGAGTTTTCCCTCCAATGATTGGGGCAACGCCCCCAACGTGATCAACGTGGTTGCGTCACCTCTGGTGACACAGTCACGCTGCGCTTCAGGGGGCGGAGTTCCCCCCAGGGCCCGATTCCGCAGCGGCAAAAATCGGGCCTCCAAAGCGGGGGTTTACCCGCCACCCGCCTTACAGTGTAGCCTAGTGAGGAACCTAAAACAGAGCTGCAAGAAAGTGTGAAAACTCTCTTGCCTCTGCTGCTTCAACTTCAAATTATCTGGGTGCTTTTCTGCATTCTTGTTTTACTTGCTGGTAAGTTCCTGTTTCTTCAGGGTTCCCCCCTGTTCTGCACGTGTTTTGCTCCCTCTAGTGGTAAATTCGATAATCACACAGGTTTATTTCTAGCATATCTCCCTGCAGACTTAAACTGCAGGTTTTTATGGTAGACACAAATTTGTGGGGTATTGACTTGACCATTAGAGGGACCAAAACACATGTGGAACAGGAACACCCCCCCCCAAAAGAAACATGAACTTACCAGCAAGTAAAATGAGAAAGCAGAAAGGCCCCCAGACAATTTTAAATCCCTGCCGCTTTACATGTTATTCAAGGTCAAATCTGTGGCCCAGCTACTATACGGAATCCCTATATGGATCAGCGTATTCAACCAAGCTACTGAGAGAGTTCAGTCTTCTTTTTTGTGCCATATTCTGGGTCTTCCTAACTATGTTAGATACACAGCTATGTGCCTTGAAACTACGCAAGGGCTTGTGGAAACCAGAGTGTGGATTCAATCCATAAAGTTCTGGCTATCTCTCTTTTTTAAAACTGATCATGAAAGCTACATAACGGCTACACTTGTGGATTAATATGCAAGCAAGTGGTCAAAGTTAATTAACAGAAAAAATATCTCAATTGGCATCTCCCCTGATGCGGGGGAAAGCGCAAGCTTTTAGACTGTTGCATCAGCTCCTGTTAGACATGGAAAGGCAAACCTTGTGTTCTCTAGCAAGTAGATTTTGGCTCTCCGGTGTCATATGCTGTGGCACCAGACTATGGTACCACACCTGCCTATTTATCCGGTCTAGAATCTCCTTATGATTGCAAAGCTTTTATGCTTGACCCATTTAATATCATTCCCTCAGCTATTCTGTTTGGTAGATATTCAGGAACACCTTTGAGTGAAAGAGATTGCCCTTGCAGGGCTGGGGTTCCCAAACAATTAGCTCACATATTACTTTACTGTAATTTTTATTTGACACTGAACACTATAATTATTAGACCTCTTCTACATAATGTTCAGGGTCTCCCAGGAGAGCAGCTAGTAGTGTACCTCTTCTCACATAGAAATCCCTGTATCAGCCTGCAAGTGGCTAAATATCTGCTAGCTGCACTAAGGATTCATGAACAGTTTTGCTTTTGGATAATTTTATCTTAATCTTTATGTCACTCTTTTAATGTAATTTTGCTTTGTACAATCTTCTTTTTTAAGATGTCTCCTTGGTTCTGGTGAGACAGATGCCTAACGAAGGTGACGAATGAATGACAGTAAAATGAGAATGCAGAAAAGCCCTGCGTTTTGCACATGTGTTTCCTACTGTAATCCCCCATCCCTTCTTGTTGAATACATTCTATTTGTACTTTAAGTTCTACTTGCGATGAGTAAAAGATGATTCTAGAGGGTCTGTGGAGCTGCTTTCAAATTGTATTTTCAACTCCCTGTTAAGAATTGGAGCCAGTGTATTGAAGGCACCACTGATTTCTGTTCTTTTTCACATACACCCCTTCATTAACCAACCCAGGACCCATAAATTTCTTCCCTCAGCTGGAGTTGGTACAAGAAACTGGGTTTTCATATGCTTAGGAGAGCAAGCAGCTTGCCTTTATTGTAAGAATCTCCCCTTCTAAGGTCATATAGGTTTGGGAAACAAACTGATGACTGTAGGGGGAGTGAGCCACATAACTAATGCTAAGAGATTCTAGGCTGCCTAGTGTATCTACTATATGTCACTATAATTCAGGATAAAGCTGGAGCATTTCTAAGCATAAGGATGATGCCAAGGTAAGACTGGAGCATAACAACAGCAACAAGAAACTCCTACTAGGCTTGCCGTCTTGTTTCAGCAAACTCGGTTTCTTAGTGATCCGAGTGAGAGGAGGAAGGCTAAATTGTATACAGCATCGAGATCTGTAAATGGCATAAGAGGCTCATCAGCAAAAATCTGCCTATTTCTGCCTCTTGGTCACACACCATTCTCTACCCCTTCTTTTTGTCAATTCCGCTTCTCCTCTCAGTCTCTTTCTCCTGGCTTCTTCTCTTATTTCTCTGGAAATCTCCCATGATCCCACACCCATTTTCCTAACTCCACCTTGGGATGCTGCCTTCTCAAACTTCTGGCTCCTGCTTTCCTAGGCTTCTTTCTTCCACCCTATCCTTTAGTGGACACTGCTTCTTGCCTTGACTATTTTTAGCTGCTGTTAGCCAGTGATGCCACGGGATTCCCCCTCACAGGAGACCCTCCAATTTGGATCCCTGTACACTTGTACATCTTAGCATGGACCTAGCAATCAAAAATGGAGTCTGGATCAAACTGTTATCAAAATGACAGTGAGTCATGCTGCGGGCTTGCAAGGAATGTGAAACAACTCCTCCATTAATCATGTAAAAACCATATCTGGTGGGAGTCAACAAAAGGGCCTTTTCCCCCAGGGGCCTAAGGGGTTCCCTCCCTGATAATCTGCCCTTAATAATGACCCAAATAATCAAAACAATGTGCAGTGGACCAACCCCAGCCATTTCTTCTTTATCTTAAATTCTGAACAGGAAGATTTCTCCCCCTGCTCTATGTAAGGCACTCAAGCTATCTACTTGCTTATCTAAACTCTAAATCTCCCTAAAGGAACGCTTCTCCTTGATACTTTTATGCAAAAGAAGAAAAACTATCTTCCACAACTTACACAAAAGGAACTCTTTTCAAATTAGCTCATCTCTGGAGAGATGGACTTCTCATCCCTCACGCATTCCAAAGCTAACATCTTTTCTCCTCCTCAATCGTAGCAAAAATGTATAAAGGTTATCCCTCACTCCATGTGATTCATAGCAGGTTTCGGATCCCAGCCTGTTACCCCAACTGTGTATCTGGCTCCTCTACTTTTCCACCACATTCTGCTGCACTTCTCCAGAGCTGCCCAGCTGTCTTCAGGAAGCAAGCGTGTATGTCTTTGATTCTCCCCTTTTATTTTCTTCCTTAGTAGCAGGGAGTTTGTTAGGGAAAGGGTTTAAACTGTGTTTGTACTTCACATGTGCATTTATTTCCTTTCTGTAGCACTTCTATGTTTATGTACCTGACTTAACTTGGTTCTCTTTCTGTTAATTTAATACATTTATTTTCTTATTTAAGAAGCTTATTCCCCTTCATTCGTTTTGAGTGTTGGTCTATATCTTGACTCCTGTATACACAGGTTATGGTCTCAGCAATTCATACCACAATACACGTTTTCTCTTTGCTAGCAGGACACTTTTGCTAGCAACTGGGGCTGCACATGTATGAGAGATTTGGGTCACATCAGAGACCTGAGGATCTAATAGCAGCCAGAGAACTTATTTGCCTGTGATATTAGAGCAGCTCAGCCAATCACATCTGGATATTTCAGCACAACAGTATCTCTTAATGCTTTACACAAGGTCAAGTCAAAGCCAAAGCTACTGGAGTTCTCAGAGTGTTTGGCTTCTTCACTACAAAGAATAAAGCAACTTGATCCACTGGAAAGGTAGATGGTAGTCTAGCCAAATAAGAGACCCTGTACCATTGTACAATTAATTTCTAAAATTGTCAGCAACTGTATATTTCTCTTTTAGTATACAGTATATGGAGAAGACACTGGCCTTGGAAGAGTTTGGGATAAGATTATGGTTTTCTACACTGTCTTGATAAAAAAATCAAAGACGCTGGCAACTTTCCTCCCCTATTCACTCAGCACTGAATCCATACCTCCTCATTTCTCCAGGTATTAAACATGTACGTATAAAAGCCAGGATAACCCGCAAATTTTCCTTTGAAGAAAGCCACATAGAAACATGAAGAGTAGTAGTTGACAAATTGAAATAGGAACATCTTCATAGTCAGTCTGTTTTCATACTCAAGGTGTGTTCGTGGAATTTCTGCAAGGTCAACAAAATAAAACAGGGCTTTAATTCTCTTTCCATTACATACTGCATTTAAATACTGGTTTCTCTAGACAAGGCTGACAAATCAGAAGTTGGCTTCAGTAATTGCAAACCTACTAGGGCTGAGCAAAACCATACCTAAGACTGAAGGACAGTGAAGTAGGTTTTTGCCAGCAGAGGGAACCAATTACAGAACAGCAAGTCAAGTCCAGACCCAGAGTTGGACATGACCACCAGTAAACAACCCATGCTGGCTAATAGTAGTTGGCATCATAGGACTATCCCTTTAGAGTAAACTACAAACACAATTATTTTTAGCACTTAGTCATTAAGCAAAACAAACTAAAATGACAAGATTTCCATTTGACATTTGACAATTTTAATTATGAATCCTTTTCTCAGTTCTGCAATACTAATTTTGGAAGTATTCCCAATTGCTTTTATTATCTTACTAGGAATAAGGCCTGTTGTGGAAATAAATTCAACGAGTTCTAGAAAGAGGCTTTGTGTGGGTGCCCTGGCCTTGGGCACTCAGTGTCAATTTGCTGTGGTGACCTCAGCAGGGTATAATGACACAGAGCCCACCATTTTCTCCAGGGAAACTGATCTCTGCCATCAGGAGAGCAGTTGTAATTCTGAGTCATCTGCAGTCCTCACCTGGAGATTGGTAACAAAGGTTCCCTAGAAGGAAATGGCTGGTTTGGAGAAGAGTCTATGACATTGTACCTGTATGTGGTTCCACCCCTCCCCAAACCCCACCCTCTCAGGTTCCACCCCTCAAATCTACATGAATGTCCCAACCTGGAGTTGGCAACACTATCTCCTTCCCAGCCAACCATCAACCACAAAGGCCAAAGTAGACTGGAAAGGGCCTCTCACCTTTGTATATTTACTGACAGAACCAAGCTTGGCTGCCTAGCAACAGCCACTGAGGGGAAAGTTAGCCCCACAGCAGAAGAAGAGAATGGTTTGATAGCTACTGGCCCACCTCAGTAGCCAGCCACAAAGGAGACAAGCAGGAGACAGGTCTTCATCAGGAGAGACAGCCATTTTGGCAGGGAAGAGTGGCCAGGTTGGCAGTCAGTGGGGGAAAGGAGTGGACCCAGCACCCAGCCAATGGTACACAAGTACTCTTGAATGGCAGGTGATGGGCCAATGGCTGATAGAAAGCACAGCACAGCCAATTGGAGAGCCAGAAAGGGCCAATATGCTGGGCTTTTATATATATAGGATTATCTGCTGCTGAATTTAGAAGTATCCCTGATTGTTTTTATTATATTATTATGCATTCATTAATTTACTCATTTAAAACATTTCTATCCCACTTCTTTCCTAAAAGACCCAGTATCTGAAAAATAGTCACTCTTTTGTTTACTGTATAGCAAATACAGACAGACTTGATAGTTTAGTCTCAGAGCCAGTGCAAACTTTATTAGTGGTGAGAATAGAGCTGTACTGAACACACACATAAGTGGACCACTCATGTGAACAATGTAACACATCCAGGGAGGACAAACACAGAATGTTTCTCCAATTGTCTTTCCATCACATACTACTTCTCCTCTAATGTTTCAAAGATGATAAAACAATTCGAGCTAGGGTTAGTTTAATCTTGGAAAAATCAACTGCCAACAGTCCGCAGATTAGTAAACCTGCTGAAATCACACCCGTAGTGTTCTTACTCATAAGATCACAGAACTGGTATGCAGTTATAGAACTTCTATGAGACCAACCACATGCTATAATGAGAGACCAAAGCAAACATTTCCCAGGAACACCAGTGGTAGAAAGTGCTGTCAAGTTGCACCCTACCCCATAGTACTTAAAAGGCAAGAGATGAAGAGGTGGTTTGCCACTTCCCTGGTAGTCTCCCATCCAAGTACTAACCAGAGCCAACCCTGCTTAGCTTCTGAGACCTGCCACGATAGGGCTAGCCTGGGCTATTGAGGTGAGAGCTCCCAGGAATATTAGCACACTGAAATAGGTGGAAAATTAAAACTGTCCAAAAGCCAATGCAACTTGCCCACCACAAAGGCAGAAATGTATCTCTGTCAGTTTTGTTCTCATGTGAAATACCTACCCATATCTGTGATCCAGATGGCTATCCTCTCATATAAGAAATTCAAGATCATGATGATAACAAAATTCAGGAACGATGCAGTGACTGATGTTGCCAGCTGCGGTGTCAGTAAGCGACGAATAGGAGTTGGTGTTTGTGCATTCTCCATGAAGCTGGCAAAAGCAGCATAAACTGCAAGGCGGTATACTATCACAGCTATCATACTTGCTATGATCAAGGAGATCTGAGGGAAACCATACAGATTAAGGACACTGGTATATTATCAAAAACACACTTGACCACTAGTAATTCATAGGAACAGACTAAAATGTGCAGTAGTCTGAGAACCCATCTACACACTGTGATAATCATAAACCGCACTTAAGACTTCCAGTAAGGATTGTATGTCTTAATGCTTCCCTGTTGTTGTTGTTCAGTCGCACAGTCGAGTCCGACTCTTCGTGACCCCATGGATCATCTCTCTCCAGGCCCTCCTGTCTTCCGCCGTCCTCTGAAGTGTGCTCAATTTCATGTTCGTTGCATCGTTGCAATGCTTCCCTGTACACATAACTATTTTCCCCCCTGAAAATTTCAAGGCAAGAGCTAGAGGAATACCTTCTCCCCGATGATCTAGTTTTCTAAATGCAAGACGCCTTCTTGTCTTTAAATAAAGGGAAGCACTTAAGCATGCAATTCCTCACCTTTAGTCTGAAATAGTATGGATCACTCTGAATGCATATATTGACCTACATGCACCATGCAAATCCAGGCAAAGCACACTAGTGAGCATGTGATTCCAAAATCCACAGATATAAGAGCCGTTAATCCATACGGTAGAAAGGTAGAACATACGCCTTGTTCCTTCTGATTTACTACAGTATTCTGAATTTTTTTATCTTAAAATGCTGGGCATCTCTGAGAATACCACACAGTGCGTCTGACAGATGAATTGACATGGGTACGTAGAATAAAATCCACAATTCACTTTCTCCAATGTGACAATGGTCTAAAGTTAAGTGACTGGTAGTTACAGCCATACATAGGGTAACTAGGCTTTTGGGCAAATCAAAGTATTCTGTGTGGATTAAATTTGTGTAGAATTTCTGAAGAGCTAATGGCTTCTATTTGGGATGTGGAATATTGCTTCCCATGTTAAGGCAACAGAATGACATGCTCAGATTTCATTTAGAGCCTGCAATTTGGTCTGGGCATAACAAAGCACATTGGCTGCGATCACACTCACTAAATAATCCACTTTCAATGCTCTGTCAGACTGGATTTTGCCAGTTCACACAGTAAAATCCAGTTGGAAAGTGCTTTGAAAGTGGATTGAAAATGGATTGTTTAGTCGGTGTAATCCCAGCCATTGTCTTATTATTACTCAATGGAAGACTGATGTCTAAAACTGCAGATTAATTGTGATGAGTAATGCACCAACAATGCATACATTTCAAATAGTATGATATAAATCAAAGAGATTAATCTGGTCTAAGCGGGCTGTGGATTGTGTGCCACTTGATTCAGTGTGTACTTTGCATGAAACCAGGGAAATGTTAGTCAGAAGTCCGCATAGCAAACAGCATACATGGACAAGCTACAGAGCAAAAGCTTAAATACATGTTAAAATCAAGCTTAAGAGGCCATTAGTACTTGTTAAATGTGTTAATGCATTGATTCAAAAGAATGCTCACCCAGAACAACACTGTCGTTCCCGAGATGCAGAACCGTACAGCCTGGCTAGTTAGAGGCAAATAAGGCTCCATCTCCTGAAACAGTCAAGCAAGCACAGCACAGTTGACCACACACAATCATATTCTTAACACTGAGCACTGAAGAAAACCTTTAACCACTGTGAGATAGCAAACACAACCCAAGAAAACTATCTGTGCCCCCAAAGAATGCATATAGCACATTTCTTCTTATGGTGAAACACAGGAATGGAGGAACCAGTGATCAATGCATATGAATGGGAAAGCCAATCATCTTAAGACTTTGCTCATTAGATAGCCAAAAGGCAATTTTGTTTCCTTCACTGGTGATAGTTGTGGGCTCTTGCAAAAAAAGAGAGTTGTTGCCGTTGTATGCAGTGTCCATTTCAATGTCCAACACATATCAAAGTAAACTGTGTTACAATAAAAATGTGCATGCTTGAACTAATTGTTCCCCAGCAACATTAACAAGTGTTTCAATAAATGAAAACAGAACCATTGTCCTCCATGTTCTCATGCCTGTTTTACTTTCATCCTTGAAGAAATGGCTAATTTCATTAGTCGCCACTCTAAGCTCCATGAATTGGGTTTCCCAGTCTTACCCAAAATAATATTCCAAAGTACAACAAGCTCAGTTTCCCATAGTCATTTACGGTCTTCCTCTTAAACACTTCTAATTCCTAAAATATTAGACCAGAGTATAAAAAGTGAGAATTTATTGTCCCTAAATCACCAGATATCAGGGCTATATTTCATATTGTCTTAAAACCAGATCCACAATCTGATTAAACCAGAATTCTTGGATATATGATAATCCAAGCAGTATCCTATTCAAACTTCCTTGGAGGTAGGTTCCTTGAAATCAGTGGGATGAAGGGTAAATTCAGATGACATGGTAACTTCACGCCAAGATGATAGAATCCTGCAATTTCTTTCTTTGTTTTTATAAATGTGTTCCCAAATGACTTGCAGTACAATTCTATATTTAACCTTTCTAAGTCCACTGAACTCTGTTTAGGATTGTACTGCAAATCAATGGATTTAGAAGGCTTAAATCTGTTTAGGATTACATTGTCAGTCTGTTTAAGAAGACACCCACAAATACAGAAAGAGCTATGGAAAATAATTGCAGAGAGGTAGCTTTGCTAGTCTGTTGCAGCAAAAATAAACAGGAGTCTTATTGCAACTTAGACCAAGTTGCATTCTAGTATCAACTTTCATGGACTTCCTCAGAAGCCCACTTCCTCAGAATCTGAGTCTTCAAGGTGTTACAAGACTCCAATGGGTATTTCTATAGTAACACCTTAAATCAGTGGTTCTCAAAAACTGTAGGGGAAGACACAAAAGTAGATTGTGAGTGACTCTCTTGCCAGTGAATTGTGACACTGGAAGGAAGAGAAAGAACACAGTGAGTTTGGAAAGAAGGTCTGATGGCAAATTTGAGTTGGCCTCTGAGTAATGTGTTGTTCAGTAGTGCTAGTATAAGTACAAAATATGAAACAAAATATAAGTTTGTTCAGGGCCAACTGATGTAGTTTATGTTGGAAAAGGAAAAAGTAGTATGGAGTTACTTTGCAACTGTGGCCCAAGAAGTACAGTAAGTACAAACATGGGTCCTGAGAACCACTACCTTAAAAACTAACAGATTTATTATCACATGATCTGATCTCCCCATCCATAAGCAGTGTATTTCTGATGCCAGTTCTTGGGGAAGGTGACAGCAGAAGATTGTTGCAGTCTTCATGCCCTGCTTGTGGGCTTCATGGGTACATTAGGTTACTATGGGAAACAGGATGTTGGAACTGACCCAGCAGGCCTGTATCAGAGGGAAGCCTGTTACACTGGCATTTACAGGGACCCTCACCTCTAAACTACCCCAGGGTCCCCCAAAGCAGTGTTCCTAAGTCGGTGGGTAGTCCTGAAGGGGACACACGTATGATCATGGGAGCTTGCCAAAGATATGGACCATGGAGGTTGTGGAAACAGACCATCTGTCTTTTCTATGTAAAATCTGCCCCCCTTCCCCCCGGTAAGTATCAGAGTTCTCAACATTTCAGTATATCCCAATATGGAGATCTTCTTCCTCTGAAAGGTCCTCTGTCTTGATGATATGTAAATCTCCTTTAGTGATATTTCTATGCCAAACACCTGCTCTGTCCTTTATGGCCACTTTCCTGGGCCAAACTTCTTTTAAAGTGTAAACATTTCTCTGGAAAGCAGATTTATGGTCCTCTTCCTGGGCTGTTCCCTGGGTTACCAAAATAACATATTAACTTTGAAGTATCAGATAGTATCAGCCATCAACCCTACATGCACACTCCTGGATATACCCACTAGGGTGCCATCATACCTTTTTGATCAAAGTTTGGGAAACCTCTCGGTCCTTTGTTCAGACCCATAATCCTGCCCTGCAGGACACCTTCTCTAGTCTATAAAACAGCTGCCCAGTCACACCTGTGTGTGTCATTCTCAGGCGCCTAACAATGTAGCACCCCCAAACTCACAATTTGGGTGCCCCTTTGTTCATGATACACTGATTGTTTAGAACCTCCCTTCTGTGGACTTCTGCACATCTGGATGGTAAATATAACTCTCTCTTTGTCTCTAAACTCCCCCGTTTCTCTGTAGCCTTGTTTGCCTGTGTTATTTGATTGCTTTCATATGTATGGTTCACATTTAACCAGTATTTTTCAATAAAACAAACTTCCTTCAAACTTAGTCCCAATCATTTAAAGAGTTTTCCTCTTTGCAACTGACACTGGTATACACAGGTATAGATCCCGACTGTTCAATGCAGATTGTTGTCCTCCTGTATCCGCCCTTCCCCTTCCCTATGCCAGCACAGTGTGGTTGAAAGCATTCTTGTCTCGGAAACCTTCAATCAAACACCTATTTGCCATGTCATCCAACTGCAGCCACCTGAGAAAATCAGAGTGCAAACAAACTCCAGTTTGTCCAGGCAGCTGCATTCGGATGTCATGGCAAATGGGTATTCGACTTGAAAGCTTCCCAAACACGAAAGCTTTCAATAGTATTCTTCACACAGAACAAGCTGCATGTTGTGCCGATTGTGAACAAATGGAAGTTTTTAAAAAAATTATCTGAACATGGCCAAAACGAAAAAGGAATGCATAGGAAAAAAACAAGACATAACTATCTAGATGATCTGGCTGGCTAAGAGTCTGTGAGTCTTCATTAGCCATCAGTTAAGCTGCTGTGAAGTCACCAGAAGGCAATGCTCTGACTTTTAATTTATTGTAATGAACACACGTGGTAGTCAAGGAAGTAATATAAGGTAACAGACTTTTTAACTACAACATATCAGTTGTTGCAGTTAAAAAGTCAGTTACCTGCTGTAATCCACCAACCGAATTTTCTACCACTGCTGTTATCCACCAACTGGATATTCTCATCTGGACAAGAAAATCCAGGAGGTGAATGATTACTACAATACAACATCCAGCAATATGTAGATCGTACCATGTACTCAATGAATCAAAGCAAAGTAATGACAGGTAATGCTTTTACATGTATTTGAGAAAGTCAATGCATTTATGCCCTTTAACCTTGGTGATCTCCATCTGTTTAATATTAATTTTAATACCAAAGATATCTATCCTTTTTCCTGAGTATTGCCCTAACTATTAGTTGGAAATGATCAACAATAACTGTAGGACATTGTTAATGGTCTTGGACTATGGCAAACTTTAGTGTTTTGTGTTGCCTACTGTTGGAAATAAGATACCTGGCATTATGGGCCAGCAGTCTAACCTAATGGTCTTTTTTGTTCTACTCACTGGGTTCCTGTTCGACATATAAGGCTAGAAATGAACAGCCTCCATAAAGGACTTCTGTGTGTTTCCAGTGATCTCCCAGTTGTGAAAACAGAGCATGCTAGACTTCTTTCATGACACCATTAGTGACAGCTGTTTTTATATCTCCTCCGTGGGAAATTTGGCAGTAAATTTAAATATCTAATGTAACCCAAGATTTGGCTGATCAGCTGAAGTTAATACAGAAAATGCAGCTACTTCCAGGATGCTTCACATCTCTTTGGGTTCCTTGATACATAGCTTGAAAATTTTCCCTTGAATTAACTCTATTCCACTGATGCTAAATGATGGAAGTTTTCCTGTCCCAAAGCTGTATCTGAGGTTTTCACTCATATCCACTTTCTCAATCACAACCTATTTTTCTTATCCTTTCTCTTAAGATTCTCGCTTTACAGGGAGCCAAGTATTTTGATGTGTTACATAGCTGGGAAGTTCAAATTTGCATGTTTTTACTGCCAGGATTCAACACTGGGACATATGAGAAATAATAAAATCACTTTCAGGTACAGAATGCATTCCACGTGTGAATGAATAGCTGCAGGGAGTCTTGCATGTTGGAGATTAGGAAAAGGCATTCCAATTTAGAAAGAGGTGTTTTTGGACAGTTTTGAAGGCCAACAATTCTTTTTCTAGGAACATAGCATTGGAAAGGGAACCACTGTAATTTTCCTGTTAAAATAAGGGAGTTCCTTACTGATGAGGGAATATAGAGCAGGTAATCCTGTGGTGTACAAGTGACTGGCTAGAAAGGGAAGGGCAGGAATAACTAAATGATTGTTATGTGTGGTGGGGATGCAGTGAAGTATGTTTGGCAGGGCTTTCTGGTAGAGCTGAGGAAGGCGACACTTCATCTTCCATTTACTATTGGAAGGATAAAGAAAAATCTCAAGGTTTCATGAATGCTAGGACTCAAACCCAGAATCTGTTTTAAATATTAGGGATCACTCTTATGAGCATATGGAAAAAAATACTACTAAGCATATGGAGAATGCACTTCTCTTCGTCTCTGAACATTTAACATAGATCCTTTCTCCACACTCTCAGAATTAAACCTGATACCGAATATGCTAGGAGTTCTACACAAGGTGCTGTTATTTACCTCCATGCCATGAAAAATTTCAACTGCACATGTTAAGCCTCTGTTAAAGGAGCAAGATATTTTCCTCCAAGCTTGTTGGAAACCCTACACACACACTTGGCAGCCATTCTGTGACTGGGAACCCTTGTTCCAACTACCTGGTTCTCTATTTGCATCAAAAATCAGCCTAATAAATAATAAGGTGCTTCCAATGCAAGGGCTCACCCCACAGAACAAGGTATCTCCCTCCCATCCACAAAAGTGGTCTACTTCAGGCTCCCATTAGCCTCTGCTCTTCCAGCCACAGAAGCTCACCAGGCTTCAGAGGAAAGACAGGAGCGGTTTCACTGCATTTGCTGTTCTCAGTTGGTATCTGTAAGAGGGAGGCTAGTAGGAGTGATTGTTCATCTGTGGGCCAGGGAGAAGCACCTTCGTTAGGAAGGAGGTATATGGCTCAGAAGCAAGTAAAAAGATGACCAAAACTGCACCACAAACACACAAGCATGTTAATCCCCCGCCTTTGGGTAACCAGTAAGAGAAGTGGAGGGAGGTAATAACATTAGCAATGTCATCCTAAGCAGGTCTACTCAGAACTCCACTCAAGTCTATTGAATACAGCTTACTCCCAGGAAGGTGTTCTTAGGATGGCACTGTCACTCCATCACCTGTCTCTCTATTTTATTTATTTCTTTATTTTTATTCTTCCCTTTCTTCATGATCCATACAAGCATTGTCTGTGGTGAGGTTTAACTGAAACAAGAACCATACAAGTTTTAATAACTAATATTTTGCATTTTTGTAGTGTTCTGGGCCGTTCAGAGGATTCATGTACACTATATAAGTAATCCTTAGCAACAGCCCTTTTAGATGATCAATAATCATGTCCTTGTTGAACTGCACATGTCTCATAAACATATCTATGGCTCTCTGGTAAGTTTTCAAGTTGTGACATCAGTGGAATTACTCCAGGTTTTGAAGAAGAATTCTGAAAGCCCTCAAATAAAATTATTGGAATAATGCCATCACATCCCATGAATGATCTTAAGACTTTCATTACAAGGAAATACTCAAGATGGCAGACGGTGATGCCAGTTCAGAGGCGCTTCCGTGAGGCAGCTCTGGTGTTTCAGAGACAATATCTTCACGTTGCAGGGCAGAGTGAGAGCTAAAAGAATTTTGCTAGCCAGACCTTACTTCCATTTACAATAGAACACCAGTTATTCAGTAGAGCATTTCCCTCCCTTTAGTTTCACAGCCCATACTATGTAAGCATAAGCACAGAAAAAATATAATTCCTTGGATCATGTACCACATAGTTCAATTAACTCTTACATCAAAACTCCCTGCATGTGAAAAGTTAAAACCTCAGGTGAAAGCTAAGTAGAACCTTGTTCAATGACCTGATACTTTTCTACATACAGGCAGCTGCTGGTGTGAGGGAGCACTCAATACACTTTTCACTCACATTTTGAAGCAATATAATCTGAAAGGATTTTTTTCTGAAGCTATTTTCACAAAGAATGTCTGAGAGCCAATTAGAGAAGAGAGAAAGTTATATAGGTAGCTAGGAAAAATAATTAAGGGGCCTGACAGAGGTTTATACAATTATGCACAGGGTCCTGAATCTACTGGTTCTCTCTCTCCACTAGAGAGAATTTTTCTCCCTCACTCAAAATATTAGTACTTGGGGGCACCCAATAAAACTGATGGACAGCAGATTCAGGATAGACAAAACAAAATACTTCTTCACACGACACATAATTAACTTGTGGAACGTGCTGCCACAGGATGTGGTAAATGGTTGCTAACTTAGATGAGTGGGGGGGGGGGTAGTAAAAGGAAATCATCATATTCCAAGTTGCCTCAGTTGCACCTTGATCTTCACTGTTTGCATGGTTGCATTTTTCTGTGGAGTTGTTTCTGTCATATCCTCCTATCGTAACTCTATCATAAGAACAAGTGCAGGCATATCATGTTTTAGGGACCAGACTGGTACAGCTCCTCATTTTGGGTAGCTAGATTCTTCCAATATGCCGGTAACTTCTTTTTTTCCCAAATTACCTGAGTTACTGGATTTTTTCTCTTTTGAGTACATTTTGCTTCATACTCTGGCCTCAGCTGAAGCTGTTGCTGTTCCTCCTCAAAATCAACTAAATCCCACTCATATTTAAGCCGAGCTTGTCGCCGCTTCCAGAATTCCAAGAACAGTGTAACTGCAATGAGAAAGTAAGCAAGAACGAATCTGCATAAGACATTAAGTATATATGTCCGTTAGATGTTTATTCAGTTCCATACAAAATATTATTACTGCTTGAATTCCCTTGGATAAACTGTTTCTTCGTTTATTTATATTCAACCAAGGAATTTCTCTGAAATGTTGGGGTCCACTGCAAAATTAGTCAAATTCATTATTGTTCATTTGTACTGGATGTATGTGCATATTTTATGGACTGTTAGTTCGACAGCATCTTGGGATGTGATGTCTCTAAGAATATGCAAACACTGATTCTTTATGCATATGTATATCTGATTCAAATTGTAATGCAGCATGGGACTTTGCAATGTATTCACTATTGCCTACATAGTACTATAGTGAAAAATTGCATGACTATATGGAGTAATACCACTCAGCTAAAACTGCTCATTAGGACTGTACGGTTATTTAAGGAACATGAACAAATATACTTACCCCAGATGCCCATAAAGATTGCAAAAAAGAGGGTTGCCACATTATCAAACAAATGGGAATACTGAAAGAAACAGAAGCAAGTTTTTGTGTGAAACAGCACTAGAAAACTGGCTATTTACTTAGTTACAAGCACTGCAGGAATGGATACTGACCTGTGAAGATTCACAAGTGGAGTTCAGCCTCCAGTAATCACATTTTCGATCACATAGTGGGCACATGATAATATCTCCCCCTATATTAGTATCACAGATTTCTTGGCTGAAGAGGACAAATATGTCTAATTTAATTAAGCAAGAACACACAGAAATGCTAAAATTTTTTTGCAAATACTGGTATTTGACTTTAGAAAAGAGCAAGAGTCCAGTAGCACCTTAAAGACTAACAAAATATGTGGCAGGGTATGAGCTTTTGTGAGTCACTGCTCACTTCTTCAGCTAACAACTGACTTTATTTGACTTTATGCAGGAAACAGAATTCTTGGTTCACACGATACATATCCTCATTTTAAATGCACAGTTTATAGGCCATGTTGTACCCACACAATGGTGCACAATTCTGCATTAGTATCATATAGTCTATCAATAGGATTAGGCTATGATTATACACAGTGAACAAGGGCATAATAAAAGAAACCAATCAGAAGGAACACATGACAAGTGATAGGACAGCTTCCATCAGCCATTCACTTTGCTGAATGTTTATGCAGTTAGTTACACTTACCTACTCATATTTTCATTCATTGTGAATGCACCATACAGAAAGCAGACAAAGCCAACTACAGCCGCAAAGAACAGCATCTCAGTGTAGAATCCCAACCAGGCAAAATAGATTCCAATCCTCTCTCCATAATACTTCCTGTAGACAAGTAATGCAGTAAAGAAACAAAAGATTAACAACTTTTTTTAAAAAAAAGTCAGATCTGCAAGAGATTAATTGCAAAGAAAAGAACAGGACTGAATCTGAATGCAGTGTTATCAGGCAAAAGCCACAGGAATGCTACAGACCTAACCGTGTGTTTAAAAAACCCCTCCTAAACCCAGTCCAAAAATGAGCATCTGACATGCTGACTGGATCAAATACTTGAAGCTTAATTATTTCAATGACTGAAAATAGTTTTGCTCACCTAGTTGCCTAGCAACTTGATATGTGATTCCCCCTCTCTCAAAGACATTTTGCTCTCTTTTCATTTTACATTTTAACTTCGGACATGGTGGCAGGAAGATGCCCAGCAATGCTATTCCTACCATTAACTCCAACTCGAGAGAATCTTCAGGCTGGGATGAGAAATGACCAGTGTTCCACATTCAGCAGACCCAACAGTCAACCATGTGGACAGCTGGGATCTATACAGAGTCAACAGGACTGTGACAAGCTGAACACTGAATAAAAGGGATCTACAACTTCCAAATGGATAATTTTCCCACAGCAAAAACTCCATGTTGGTCAGGCATTCACAGAATTAAGAGTAAAAGATCCATTACATGATATTTACAAAAGACCAAAAAAGAAAAAGAAAAGAATCCACAGGGACTTGTAGAAGAGGGAACTCTCATGTTCCCCGTTACCTCCTTGACACCAGTTCTGACTTTTCGCCCTGAGTCCAGTTTCCACCTCCCTGGCTCTAGGCCCTTTCCTCCCTTGTTCTTCTCCAACTGCTGGTTCTCTTCCCTCCCCATTGCTGCTGGTTCTCCTCTTCCAGATCCACCCTCCCTCTTGCTTGCTGCCATTGGGCCAGTGCCCATTTTGGGTTGTCAAAAGTTTTTTGTTTTGTTTTTTTAACTTTTAGGTTTCAACTTCTTTGACCCCCAAGTACACAAACAAATAAAATAAGAATCAGTTATAACACCATACTTTTTTTTTTTTTGGTGTCACTGTATCTAATAGTAAACTGGTGGCCTTTGTGTGGATGATGAACGCCACAAGACCAGGCCACCCCCAAGCAGGGGCAGGGTATCTACCTACACACTCAGAGAACTCTGGAAGTACACATGAGGTTTGACTGCCTGATAACGTTTGAGAAGAGATTGAATGTTAAGAGCGGGTTATTATCAATTAAAGAGAAAAGGAGGGGGAGGCAGTGGTGGCACTGCTGGGAGATGATTTATGGCTTATGGGAGAAGACTTATGCCTCCCAGACTTGCATAGTCACCAGGTGAATTGAACGTGAATCCCTGAGATGTTGGCAGCATTTTAAAAGGTTTGGTTTGCTTTAAAGGCATCTCCGAGTACAATCCTCCTGCATGCATTTGCATTTATTTATTTACAGTCCACATTTCTCCCCAGTTGGGACTCAAAGCACCTTAGAACATCATTCCCTCTTCTTCCATTTTCTCGTTACAAGAACCCTGTGAGGCAGGTTATGCTGAGAGTATATGGCAAGATCATGGTCACCCAGCTAGCTTCTACTGTTGGAAGAAGAGAGGAGAGATTGGATTTATACCCCGCCCTTCACTACCCGAAGGAGTCTCAGAGCGGCTTACAATCCCTTTTCCCTTCCACTACCCTGTGAGGTAGGTGGGGCTGAGAGAGCTCTCTCGAGAACTGCCCTTGAGAGAACAGCTCTGAAAGAACTTATGACGGACCCAAGGTCACACTATCAAAGGGGGATTTGAACCCAGGTCTCCTAGGATCCTAGTCTGACACTCTTATCTGCTACACTATCCAAGCTCTCATGCCTCTCCCTCACTAGACACTGTGTTTTTTACACCACTCAGGCCAAAAAGATTGCCAATCTCCGACTTAGAAAATGATGGAGAAGGAGGTTGTATCTGTGTGTGCATCTGTCTACCTATCTATCTATCTGTCCAATGCAAAAGCGCCAGACTGAGCGGTGGCACAGAGGATTGCGCTGGTGTGAGCTACCAGCCTTGTCCCAAGCTCGCCATCCACCCAGCGGTTCGAAAGCTTCGGCGAGTAGATAAAATGGGTACCACTCCTTAGAGAGGGTGGGCACAGTAATCCCCCGTAGGGGAGGTGTTAGCCGGCGAATGGAATATCCAGCTCGGAAGCTCGGAAGCCTGGAAAAAAGACCTCTTCGGCATCAAGAAGCCTGTAATGGGCCAATCCAGCCAGGTGGTGGCAGTGCGGCACTACGACTCAAAGCAGCCCAGGAAGAACTAGCATCATCAAGCCAAGCCGAAATGAATGCCCCCCCCGAACATGACTGAAGCCTACAGCTGAACAAAATCCCCGTCGGCCGGAAACATGTGCAATTTAAAGAATTAAATGTTGTCCTCCCTTACCCCTATCATTGTTAGTCCCTTGTGAAAACCTGTGTAGCTGTAAATCGCTCAGAGCCAGCAGCTCTGCAGGATTAAGTGATCAATAAATCAAAAGGTATTATTATTATTATTATTATTATTATTATTATTAACATCAGGGGCTCACCTGATAAGATCCAATGGCTGTTCTTTGTAGAACTGAAAAAACCTTGCCCATTCCCTGTATAGTGTATATCTTTCATTGTCACACTTTGGATCATTTGACTTCTTCCAGTACTGACACTGCATTCATGTGAATAAATATATAAAAGAATAAGACATAAGCAGGTCATTAAATGGCTGGTATCACAGGTTTTAAATAAGCCACAACATTCCCTTTTTTCTCTCCCAAATAAATACTAGGTGTCATTTCGGATTTCAGTGTGTATACAGTAGAGAGGAGGAACCCGGCAATATTCAGAGAATCATAGTATAAACTATACACTTATTTTATATGAAACTAAGGGAGGGATTCACTGACCTAAATGCAACCTACATGTGAAAAAATAAAAATAAAATCAAATTCTCAAACATAATAAAAATAAATAAAATAAAGATTCTAGTTCTTTTTAAAATTCTCAAACAATAGCTAATAAAAAGCATCAGCTTGAAGCTCAACACACTAGAATTAAGGTAATATTTTCCAAATGTAGTCCTTGTAATGAATTATATACCCTGCCAGGCTTTGTACAAAATAAATAAATAAAATCCAAAAACGTGCTCCAGTGAAGTCCTCAGCATCTGCCACCAGGTGGCACTGTTTCATTAAACTCTACTGCTGCCTTGTCATCCCAGTTTGACAGCACATCTGAAATTTACCTTCCCCCTCTTCTTATCCTCCCTAGAGGTTTGCACAGGTGTTGTCTTAGCTCAGCTAAATGTCTTCACATACATATGTCATAAGCAATTTCCACAGTAATAGTCACAATTACAGAAGATTACAGATATTATTTGCATATCGACTACAAGGCAGAGCAGGTCACAGCCTCAGTAAAAATGTAGTTTTCGAAAACAAAGACGTACAAGGTGACAAAGAAAAGAATGGAAGTCTAAATGCTTACATCATGGAGAGGGTAAGCAGCAGTGTAGGTGCCATTGTTTAGCAGTCTTTTAAGCCCAAACTTCTTCTTTCCTTCTTCTGTTCCATAAGGACACCTTGATAAAATATAGTAAACCTAAAAGCACCACAGTTTAGAATTAATACTGAACCACCTTCGTAATTCCATGAAATTTGAAAAGCAGGCTCCAGCTCTCCTAACGTTTCTTGCTCTGACCTAATGAAGAATAAGTAACCCCTCTTTTTAAAACCAAACTCTCACTTGTTGGGCAGGGAAAGTGAAGGACTGAATAGATCTCCTCCATGTACCGCCTCCTGAACAAATAATGGGCATGTTAGCTTCCTTGCACGCAACCCTGGCATTGAATCAGAGAAGGGAATCACACATATGGCACCCGATTGCTCAAATGATTCCCTAACCATCTATACATATGTGTGTGGAAGCTTGCTGGATCTGGGATTATTTTGAATTTTACAATACCGAAGATAATTGATGCTGGCATTCTTCTGCCATTATATTATAAACTCCAGACTGTTAACGATGCCAACATTAACAGATGTGAGTAGCTTGATCTTATATCAGCAGTGGGCCCAGGTTGCTGAGATCCTCCTCTTTTTAAATCCAAGGACTATAATCCGTTCCCAAAGTGCAAGGATTTGGGGGAGTAAAAGAATAATATTTTTCTCTGAGCCAGAGGCTGGCTTGATATACTGGGATTTTTGTTAAACCTGTGCTTATAAACATTCGATCTTACCACTTATTCGTAGCCATACTTTACCCCCATTTATGTTTCTGTATTAGAACGATCTATTAAGGCTGGCCAAATTTCACGAACAAACTTGCATCTGTTTCAAGTTTGTGGGTCGCAAAGGACTTTCTATACTGTACTGTGGGTTAACTGAGCCACCTACCTCGTGATTCTGATCTTTTTCTCTAAAAAACCAGTGATGTTTTTCTCATAATACGAGACTTGGTGTCGGTGCAGAATGGCAAAGGAAATGTAACGTCGTACCATTTTTATAAAGGGTGGGTTAGACAAGGGGTGGGGGGTCTTTGAGCCAGAACTGATGGGCACAAGTACTCACAATTCTGTTTCTAACGGACGGGGAGAAAAATGTATGTTCGTCATGAATGAGGTAGAGTTCCTGCTTTTCCTTGCTGAACGGGGCTGTGAAGTAATCTGGTTCTGGATGCATCACGTTCTCGGGCAGCCTGAATGGCCGAGTCATACAGTCAAGGGGGTTCTCTACGGCACAAGTAATATCATTTTCCTTTATAGGCACTTTGATGTTCAGCACTTCAGCATATGTAGTTAGGACCTCCCATGGCGCATGAACCTTCACAAAGTAAGTCTTGCCATTTTCAGATTCCTACAAATGAAGAGATAATGCCTGATGTTAAACTAAGCAGTATTTTCATGTACATACACCGTAAAAACCATAACATTTGATGATGATATATATCTGGGGTGTTGTTTTTTTCTTACACGTACACCTTGAGAATGTATGATGGAGAGCCAGACGAAGAACACCATCCAATACATGTGTATATAAGCCCTGTTCACAAGTTACAGTGAATGTACATCCAGTCTCCGTATACACACTTGATTATTTTCTAAGCGTGTTGAGTAATTCTCATGTTACAGTTAACACATGTACGGCTGAACACGTGATGCAAACTCCACATTTATCCAGGTACTGGTCCCTGAATCATTTGTAAAGTGAACACACGTTGGGTCTTTCTTACAAAATGATGTGCATAAGCAGAGGCAGGATATACCTGTGTGAGTAGAACTACTATGTAAAATGTGAACAGGGCTAAATGTGTGAACAGGGCTAACAGGTACACTCCTTGAACAAAAATGTGACCACTTCAAACATAATGAAGCAGAATACATGGTGAACTCATGCAATGGATAAACACACAAATACATGATTCTGCCTTCTAGTCAGTCAGACAATTGACTCGCCAGAGTCGCAGTCGGAGGTCTTCCACATCACCTACTACCTGATCCTCTTATCTGGAGACATGAGTGATTGAACCTGAGACTTCTGCATGCAGAGCAGGTGCGTTGTCACTGAGACATGACTCCTCTCAACAGCCATAGGGGCCTGATCCAAGTCAGTCTTCATATTAAAAGATACCAAAATGTCAGCTTACCTGTTTTGGAACTTGTGACTAACCTTCTCTCACTGGGACCATTATGGGAGTACAATCAAGACCAAGAAGGGGTAGTGGGGCTAATCAAACAAGAATTAAAAGGAAGACTATGGGTCCTAATATTCCATACTTATCATCTTTCCTCTAAGACATGAGTTAAGCTGTAAGGGATACACAGTGAGAACTAGGACCTGGGGCTACTTCCTTTCGACTGCATCTCCATTCTGCAAGTGAGTTCATGGTCAGTTATTCTGGAACTCTTTCCTTATCACAACTGAACAAGTTGCAGATACTTCCCTTTAAAGTAAAATCGTGCTCCTCAACTGGATAATTCCCAAGAAACGTGGTTCCTACATCAGGTTTTTTAAAAAAAATTGAAGCACTGAAGGTATAAAACAACAGCTATAAAATGCTGAAGTTTGAAAACTTGTATTTCTTCTGCAAAACCTTTCTTGACACCCATGTGCAAGCCCCTTCTGCAACTGCAACTGCTACTTAACTCTCCTGTGGGGCTTGGTGATTCTTTATAAAACTCTCAGTGATATAAGGGATCAGGACTGCAGCCCTCTGAGCATGAGCCGCAAAACAGCCCTGCAACTCTAAGCTCCTGACAGTATGCATACCTGGGATTAGGAAACTTCTTAGGCTCGTAGCTTCTTACCAGGGTTGTTGTGGCTGCTCACCCAAGTCAAAGCAGCACCACTAGCTGCTGCATAACAATAAAGGTTAAGGTTTCCCTTGCTCAAAAGCCAGGTGAATCCGACTCTAGGGATGCGGTGCTCATCTCTGTTTCCAAGCCGAAGAGCCAGCGCTGTTCAAAGACATTTCCGTGGTCATGTGGCCGGCATGACTAGACGCCGAGGCATGACTAGACGCTGTTACCTTCCCACTGAAGTGGTACCTATTTATCTACTTGCAGTTTTTTGCTTTTGAACTGCTAGGTTGGCAGGAGCTGGGGCCAGGGATGGGAGCTCACTCCGTCATGCGGCACTCGGGTCTTGAACTGCTGAACTACCGACCTTCCTGCTTCGGCTTTGTTATTTATTTATGCCACCTTTCTCTCTAATGGGGACCCAACATCATTCTCCTCTCCTCCATTTTAGCCTCACAATGATCCTATGAAACAGATAAGTCTGAAAGAGAGTGATCGGCTCAAGGTCACTCAGCAACCTTCCATGGCAGATTTCACACTGTGTTTCGCTGATCCTAATCTGACCCTCTGATTACTATACCACAATGGCTCTCAGGTTTCCCTCCTTCTCTCCCCCGGGCAGCCTCTCCCTGCAGGAAAAGTCAGGTCAAATGGTAAGTCATGTGGTAGTAAGTCAGGTGAATTGTGTGGTGTCTACTGCTGGTCCCAGCCATGAGTAAAGGCTGTTGCTGGGCCCAGGGAAGTTGTATGGTATTGATTAATCCAGCAGCCACACACACCCCCACCTGGGCGAATTGTGCAAACTGAATAGGAACAAGTTGGCTGATAGCTCCTGATGAGTCCTCTGTCAAAGACCAAAACAGCCCTGAAAGAACCCTGCCCGTTGTCTTTAACTGACAGAAACCAAAGCTTGAAGGCTGGTAATACTATTGTGGTTGCCTAGCAACAGATGTCTGGTCTGTTCATGGCCTCAGTCTCCATATTTAAGTATACACAGATGGGGCCACACTGAGAATTAAATATGTTGATATGGGTTAAATGCAGCGCACATTGCTTCTTTACCTTTTTGTCTTCCGTTTCTAGTTCCAGACCTGCCTTTTCTAGATTGTTTTCAAATTCTCGTCTTCTCTCCTAAAACAATCTTTATGTTATTTTTTCATATGCTTAAATTTTACATATATATATGCAATTATAAAATTACAGTTCTTTTTCTGTAGGTATGTAAAACAAACAAAACTATAATAAACAACATGAACAGCATAAAACTCAAAAACTCAAATCGGAAAATAGTGGCAGTTATGATACTGAAGAAAAAAAATGGCCCATTAGGCAGAAATGGAACAGTACTGAGCAAATCCTATTTTATGCAGTCATCCTTTCCCATCTATGAAGAGCTCCATCCAAACACGTAATGAGAACAATGTATTTTTAAATTCCACAGAAGAGAATTACAAAGAGACTGCACCAGCCAGGAAAATGTCCTACTGAATGATCTCATAATGCAAAAAGACAGAAGATGCAGGTGAAAGTGCATGGAGGCACATATAGGAATACTGTGACTCTACTAAGAACAGTGAAAACTTCAATTCCCTTAATAAATCCCAATTCAAAAATGTAACATATAGAGCACTCATGGTGCTTTGCTCTGGAATTACTGTTTATTAGCACCTATTTTGGATAACCTTCACTCTTTGCTTTATTGATGTTCAACTTCAAGGGTTCAAAAACATTCAAGATAAAAGCAGATCTCAATTCCAAAGTGCAGTTTAAGAATATATTCAAAAAACAGACCCAAAGTACAGTAGTTAAAGTTAATTATTCTGCTGAAGGATGAATAGGTAATACATGTTATCTAAAAAGATAATGTCACTAACATAAACATGAGGTCACTATCTGATAACAATGCTGTCTGTTGCAAACATTAAAGTAATAAATAAAGGAGTGATTTAAAAGATAGCATTCAATAGCATATTTACTCAGGAGTTCTCACGGAATGCTCTTGTTTTGCTAAGCCTTTTTCCTTCCAGATGTCTCCCACATCCTGGATTGTGAAGAGTGTCTTGCATCTGCGGTTATATATTAAAGCTTTCCCATTTTCTGAAATGGCAGTGCAGTCCATATAGTGGAGAAAAAAATCACACCACTGTGCTATTTTGAGTTGACACTTAATGCCTTTTGCTTTTGCAGCAAAAGCAACATCAGACCAGGAGCATCATGAAAGTATGTCCTCCTTGTGGACATGAGAATAGTGAAATTGAGGTGTGCAAAAGTGACAGATCCCAAACATTTATCTGTTTGTAACTTGTCAAACTCTAATAATGGATCAGAAAGGTCAAGTAACTGGGGCTCTTAGGCTTGGATACAGCATAACTCTCCCAGGCCTCCTCCTCGGCTCTATTTGGAGTTAACCTTGAAGAGCATTTGGAAGCTGCGGCTAGTGCAGAATGCTGCTCATAGACGGATGTCTGGAGCCAGCTACTGGGAATATGTGACCCCAGTACTACTGAAATTACACTGGTTACCGATCTGCTTGAAAGCCCAGTTCAAGGTGGGGGTTTTTTGTCGAAGAAGAAGAAGAAGGAGGAGGAGGAGGAGGAAGAGGAAGAGGAGGAGATTGGATTTATACCCCGCCCTTCACTACCCAAGGGAGTCTCAGAGCGGCTTACAAACTCCTTTCCCTTCCCCTCCCCACAACAGACACCCTGTGAGGTAGGTGGGGTTGAGAGAGCTCTGACAGAAACTGCTCATTTTCAAGAACAGCTGTGCCAGAACTAAGGCTTGCCCAAGGTCATCCAGCCAGGTGCAAGTGGAGGAGTGGGGAATCAAACCCGGTTCTCCCAGATTAGAGTCCATGCACTTAACCACTACACCAAACTGTGTTGTGCTTTGTTTTGCCTAAATATTTTGCTAATGAAGCTATTTGATATTCATAACAAGTACAGCTAGTGTATATTGAATAAAGCACAAATGTTTATAACACAAGACCAAATAAATCATTGAAAGATGTTGGTTTAAAGGTCTGTATGTCAGTTCTTCTTGATGAGCAAAGTAGTATCTTGAAATTAACTAAATGGACTTAGTCTTAAAAAACAAAGTGCGGGATGTTATTGCTCTAAGGGCCTTGTTTGTACTATAAAAGCCACATGTGACTCTTTCACACATATTGTGTGGCTCCCGGCAGGGCAGCTGGGAAAGCAAAGGGGAGGCCCGCCTCCCCCCCCAGTCTTCCCTTCCCTAGCCAGTGCTCCCCTCCCTGGGTAGGCTTGAGGTGGGGGGGGGGGAGCAGAGAAAGAAAGCAACTTTAACTTTAAATGCATTCTCAAAGCTCCCCCCCCCCCGGCCAGCTTGGAGAAGGCATTTGTCTCTTTAAATATCATTATCAATATCTGTTTTTACTCCTTTTGTTTTTATTTCTGGCAGTCTTATTTAATGTTAATGTTAATAAAAAGCTAATTTGCATATTTCCCAATAAAAACATGTGTGTAATATTTGTTCATGTCTTGCCGTTCTCAGACATCTGATGTGTCTTCTATGTCGCTCTTATACTAAGCTAGTTTAGCCACCCCTGACACAGACTAAAATATGCAGCCATCAGTTGTTTTCTTCCTTTCCCAAGAATGCTTCCATTCTTAAATTATACAACTTTGCCAAGTCATTGTGCTAGAGGGAAGAGGAATACACAAGGCTTCACAGTGATTACTGTACACCACCAATCTATTTGTGCATTTTTATTCTTAGTTAATAAAATAACAAGGCCAGGCTGTATGCCAACAAAATAAAATCTGTTCTGAAATCATACATTGTTAGAGTCCATTGCCATAACTCTTAATTAAGAAGTGTTTCTAAGTAATAAGTAGCCCATTTCAGTAAAATAGCTCACACACATATTCCATAAACACCTTCCACAGAACAAAGCATGATTGAACTACCAAATCTTCACTCTCATTTGATTTTCTGTGGCACTTCCACATGTCCTTTGAATTCTTTGAAAAGTCATGCTGAAATTGGTACAAACTGGAAGAGAACAGCATCATCATAAAATTTCCTTTGGCATCGATAATGGAAGGAAAGATGCCCTAACTTTCATGCCCATCTAGGGTTACCAGAGCCCTGGTCTGGTGGGCTTTACCCGCTTTTTTTGGGGGGGGGGGTTCAACCTGCTGCCTGCCAGCTGGCCGGCAGGGGAGGCTCCACCCCCAAACTTGAAAACCCTCAGCCACCTGCGGGCTGCGTGTCTGAATTGGAGATTGGGCATGTGGGGCCCGCTGGCTGCGAGCACTTAAAAGGACCCTTTTAAGTGCTCTCAGCTGGTGGGGCCCAATGGCTGTGCACTGTAAGCCCTTAAAAAAAAAACTTTAAGTGCTCACAGCTGGCAGTCCTCAGGCCCTGCGCACCTGATCTCCAAGTGGCAAGGGATCTACAAAGACTGGTGCCCAAGTCTTGTTTATACACCGGGAGAAGAGAGCAGGGAACAAATCTGTCTTCCAAGAGTTACATATCCTGACAGCTGATGTAATTTTAAGTGAGAATTCTGAAGAAATAAATCCTGTGGAACAAAGAAAAGGTTCTAATTCATATTGTATTCCATTTGCTTCCCCATATATTTGTGTTGCATTCTAAGAAGAGGGGACTATAAAAGACACCAAAATGGTACAGCAGATGGACTACTTAAAATCCCTCAACCACCCCTAAAAAAGGAGAAACTATCAGAATGCTTTTGCAGATAAGGGCACACAAATTACTTACAGTTTAATCATTAAACTACTCTGCCATCCCATTCCCCAGTACACAAGCTGTACTACAGGCAGATCTAAATATATTGTAATAAAGGCAACATGTGAAATAAAGGCTTCTTCAGATGTCTTTTGGTGGATATTTTGAGGCAACAGGAAACTGGGCAACAAAATACTAAGAAACTACCAAGTCATTTAAAGAAATCAGTCATCTAAGTTCAGCACAGCTTCTGGGTGCCTTACAACTTGGAGTATGATTCGTAGGACTCAAGTTCAATGTAAATGATTCAACTAATGCAATCACTTATTATTCACCTAAAGCTTCATAAATGTTTTCCACAGGGAACAATATTCTCAGCACAAAATGGTACTAGGGAATAGGGATGGGCACAAACCAGGAGAATGGAGGTTAGTGGTGGTTCGTGGGGTCTCAGTTCGTGAACCTCCACAAAGTTTTCCATTTAACAAAACTGTTCGGGAGTTTCATGCAGCTTCCATGTTGAGTGGGAGCCAAAGGTATTGCTGAACTGGCTTTCATCTATTAGATGCAAGCCAGTTCAAGTGATGCCTTTGGCTCCCCTCCTGCATGGAAGCCACAGTGGCTCTCACAAGTGAACTCAAAAGGCATTTGAATGCCTTCTGACAGCTCACTAGCATTGTGCCACCACTGTGGTGCAACTCATGCAAGTCAACTCAGAAGGTAAGTTGTGCCATGGCAGCACGATGTGAGTGAGCTGTCAGAAGGCATCTAAATGTCTTCTGAGCTCACTCATGTTGTGTCACCATGAACCCTCTCAGGAACCGAACAAACTGCTGCCAAAACCAGGATGGTTCGGGGCAGTTTGTGAACAGCGTGATTGCATGAACTGCGGTTTGCCATGAAATTCAGTTCATGTCCATCCCTAATTTGGAACCCACTAGGAACCACTGCACAGATTCTTTAGATAAGGAAATTCAAATCACTCAATTTATTCTGCCAGCACAAGCTTTAGTGAACTGAAAGTTACCAGTTCTAATGAAAACATATGCTAAATGTTGCTATCTGTAGCGAGTGAGAGTTTACTAAATCCCTGGAAACATCCAAAAGGTCACCTCTATTAAACTGGGATTTTGCAGTTAGGAAAACACATTCAATGATTTTTAAAAAACCAACACTGGGGATTTTCAGACCTCTCTTGTTCCTGAATGTGTTATCCCAAACAAAGTGATCAGTCTCCTCTTGCAGTACACTCAGTGCACACGCCTCTCTTGCAGTGTGCCTTCTCTATCATTGGAGAAACACTAGATGGGGGTCCTGTTTTATGATACAGAGGCCACAGCAACAGCCAGCAGTTCTCATCTCAGCTAGCAAGGCCCAGAATCAAGAGAGGAGAAAGAGGGAGTCTAGGTGAGACCACTATATATGAGAGGGAAGATATCAGGGAAAACAAACTGAGGCAGGAAGTGGCCAGAAAATGGTGTGAGGGAAAATGGGGGAGACAAATTAAAGAGAGCATGACTATGAAGAATCTGTTTCTTAACATTGGAAAACAAGAATTCTGTTGGATAAGATTAAAGTAGTTCAGTATCATGTATTTAATTGTAGCTAACTAGTTAGCTCTGGGAAGCTCACAGCCAAATAACTGAGAAGTCAGAAGTTTCAAGACAAGAGCAGTCCCCAGCCTCAACTGCTTCCAGTGTCTCGTTCTCAAATGCTTCTCTCTGGCAAAAACACGGCCTTATCACTTCTTAACCCTCAATATTTCATTGATAGTCTGTTATATCTTAAATTAGCATGTTAAGTCCTCAAAAACATATTCTGGCCGAGAGACCAAATATGTACCTTACAAATAAACAAGCAAATCAAGAAATCTATACCCATGGAAAGGTTTCTCTCATATGTTTCTAATCAACTCGCGAGATCAGGGTGACTTTAAAAAAATAAATGAGTTATCCTGAAGCTAATTCAGACTCAAAGTTCATGTAGATCTCTGTTTATCGGGGCAGGTTCACTGAAGTTCAATAAGAGTTACTTTCCCTTAGAGACACTTGTTTGTTCTAGGAGGTCACTTTGGTCAGCAAGGCTACCATACAGGCACAAGAAGAAGAGGAAGAAGAAGAAGAGGAGGAGATTGGATTTATACCCTACCTTTCACTACCCAAAGGAGTCTCAGAGCAGCTAACAATCCCTTTCCCTTCCCCACAAAAGACACCCTGTGAGCTGAGAGAGTTCTGTCGAGAACTGCCCTTGAAAGAACAGCTCTGAAAGACCTTACGACTGACCCAAGGTCACAGCAGCAGGTGCATGTGGAGGAGTGGAGGGATCAAACCCGGTTCTCCCAGATTAGAGTCCACGCTCCTAACCACTACACCAAAGTGGCTCGAGTCTCTACCACCACACCCAAAGACTCTGACACTATATATTAGCTTGTTTGGAAGGCACCATAGATTTTTCAGTTGTCATCAATGCTCAAAGTTTGAGCCTAATTTCCTGTGCTTTTACATATCTGCGTTCAACGAAGGACATGTCAACTCTATAGTTTTACGCCACATAAACTGCCAGTATGCCCTCAAAATTGTAGATTGGTGTGGTGCTGATAATACCCACGTAGATTGCAGATCGACTGCTAAGAAAAGCGGGAATTAAGTTGTGCATGCAGGAAAACCCCAGCGTCCCCCACCAAACTGGTTTCCAGAACTTAAATTTTACACAAGTCTATGGTGTAATTAAATCTTAATGTTTTCTTGAATAACCTGGAAATCAGCTTTCTGAAATCAAGAGCAGCTGCAACCTTTAACTAGCTGTCTGTTGCTGTCTCAACAGAAACAATGCTTAGGGTAGTATCCAAATATGCAAAATGCTGAACAGGACTGCAGTCAAAATGATGCAGTCACCAATGGAAAAAAGGACTTGCCTCCTGTTCCCTTGTTGATAAGATCAAACATTACTGCTCCAAGACATCTTGCTACTTTGCACGCATCTTTACTTCAAAAGTTACATTATGACTACTCAGCACACTTATTTGGGCACAAAGAGAACTTTACAGAGACAGTATTAGTTATATAAAACAGAACTATTATCATTTCCAGTACAAGGTGCAACATTCTGAGTGACATCACTTTTTGCAGAACATCATCCATTATAAGAACTGAGTTTTCTAGACAAACTGTTCTTGTCAAGCAAAGATGTTACTTAAATTGCCCCTTTAAAAGCTTTCTACAGAACAAAGCATGATTGAATTACAATTTTTTAAAAAAAAACACCTTACCACTTTCTTTTCTCCTTCTTTATTTGGATCGTCTACATAAGACAGAACAAAGTCTATTTGCCGGACACCATCTCTGAAGAAAATAGAGTCTTTGCTTTGATGTTGCCTGTCAATCTGTAGAGAAGAAAATATTTGCTATTTACATCTGTGGCTGCTTATGTGCAAGGCAAGAAACCAGCCTTCTTTTTATTTGTTTCAGACATTCAGTCTTCTGGTTTTCCTATGTGTTCTATGGTGATAATGAAGCTTAAATACCAGGTCCTTTTGTTGCACAATATTTATAAATAATTGGTAGAAATTCCAATAATCCATGGATATGATTTTAGTTTTGTAATACATTTTTGTACATAGTCCCACTGTACAGTGGCTCTTATTGTGCTTGCTCACCAAGCACTGCCTGGTACTGTATCATAAGCACACACCACGGACCCCCTCCATTCATAAACAAGTATGCTAGTTCACCGGCCATTGCCATTCTCTCTCCCTCACACACACACACACACACACACACACATATACACACACCCCACTGGTGCTGTCAACTCACTCTCACACACACTTTGTTTTGTTGTGCAAGACAGATGAAAACAACTGAAGAATGTTACAGGTATGCCTGACATATTCACAATATACATCACAAATGTTACACACAAGACATGTTAGTAGAACAGTGACAAAAGACTGCTGTTTTTAAAAGCCTTTTTGTTTTTGTCTAAACTTCCACTTAAAGAAGCCACTGCAAACATTGCCAAAGCAATGCTTCTCATCCCAGTCTAATTTTGCTCTGTAAAATAATTTCATTCAGTATTAAAAATGATACATGGAAAAGCAGGAAGCACAGCAGCAGCTCTGAAAGTAAACACAATATATTTCCCCTTTTGTGTGAAGGTTTAGAAAAGCAACAGATGTGCCGCAGGGAATCCAGCTGACTACAGATTATGAAAGAACATAATTTTGTACTTGGGTTCCTAAAAGATTTTCAGACTTGGAAATGGTGCCTTTTGGTTACTTTTTTATTTTACACATTTAAAAGGAAACTATTAGCAATAATAGTCTCCCAGCTTCTTTGCAATTCACTCAGTCTTACTGAACTTATTCAGAGTAAGCACAGGGTTTTCCCAAGAGTTTGCCAAACAAACTTCAGAATGATGTGGCTTGGGAGAGGCGGTCTGCCATCATTCCCTAAACTTAGAACACGAAGGAGGAGGAGGAGGAGGACCTGGCAGTGAGGAGTGCTCTTACTAGACTTCCAAGTCACCATGGAGGCTTCCAAGCATGCTTAGAAGTGTTCTTTGTCATAGGGAAGACTGAAAATTGTATTTTTCATTTATTCAATAGATACAGGAAGAATTGGAAACTACTGATGCCTTTGCAACACCATCCCTTCTCCTTCTGCAAGGGTAAGTCTGGGAGAAATGCCAGGGTAAGACTATTACATGCTAATACAAGGTTATTACAAAATGCTTCTGGAGCTGATTTTGAGCAGAGTCCAAACTTCCCACAGAATTTTGGGCTGTGTTCATAATTAACTCCATGAGGAAAGAGGCTCCAGAGTTTGCATTGTACTCCACAAAACTGAATTTCCCAATTAATTTTGGTGGGTTCAAAACACTTTTGCAGACGGTGGCTGGTTATTTGTGTTTTAGGACTAATTTTTGTTTAGGTAATTTTTGTTGTGCTCTATGTCATCATGTATTGCTGTGCTCTTTTAACCTTGCTGTACACCTGCTTGAACTCTTTTTATCAGAACAACTCATAAATGTTTTAAGTAACTACTCTGAAAGTAAAACAAAGTTTGAGTCCAGTGGCACCTTTAAAACCGACAAAGTTTTATTCAAGGTATGAACTTTCGTGTGCTCATACCTTGAATAAAACTTCATTGGTCTTAAAGGTGCCACAAGACTCAAACTTTGTTTTGCTGCTTCAGACCAACACAGCTACTCACCTGAATCTAATTTGAAAGTGTTGGTCTGAAGAAACAGAACAAAGTCGGAGTCCAGTGGCACCTTTAAGACCAGCAATGTTTAATTCTGGATATAAGCTTTTGTGTGTATGCACATGAAAGCATATACCCAGAATTAAACTTTGTTGGTTTTAAAGGTGCCACTGGACTCCAACTTTGATTAATTTGACAGTTAGTTTCTCAAAGCCTCCTAGTGATGTGTTGCTTATGATGGATTCATTCGATGTCCCTGTTCTGTATTCCAGAATATCCTGAATACATACATGCATCTATTCCAGTTTTATCCTGGCCTTGAGAAACAGGGCATCACCCTAAGAAAAAGAATCAGGGAGTGGTTGAGTGAGATTGTGTAAGACAGAATATTATCAAAGTCAAATCAGCTTCATGTATTAAGCAACAAGTCTTAATGTCTATTATTTATAAGGATTACACTAAACTGGTATACAACAGTCTAGTGCAAATGTTCCTCTTGTAATGGGGAGAGTGGTGACTGCAGTAGAGCTCCCACCCCCAGTAGAGCTCCCACCCCCTCCAGGGACACAACTTTCTTGAACTGGCTGAAATCATTAATCTGCATCTACACAGACAAACTCCTACTATAGTCTCCCACTGAAAACAATGGGATATAACAAGCTGTGTAATCATGATCTATGCACATAACCTACTATGCACATACATAAATGTTGGATGTACAGAGAGCCTTCGAGTTGTGATCTCCATGCATATAAATAGAAGAACTGCACATGAGTGTTAAACCAATACTGAGCAGGCCCATTTGCAACATGATAGCCACATAAATACACATATTTTCTGCAGCTTGATACTTACATTGCTGATTGAGAATTACAGTGCAATCCTAAATGGAGTTACACCCTTCTAAATGTATAAGACTCAGTATATTCAGAAGGCTGTTACCCTGCTTAGGATTCCACTATTAGTCTAAAAAAAAATCTGGTTACGAGACTTCCCCCCAATAATCATTTTTAAGTTATCACTGTATATTGTATCTGTCTTAATGCATTAATTGTTTTTAAGTTTTTATACTTTTGGGGACTGTTTAAAAGGCAGACAAAAAAAATCAGGGTTGATTACTTTTGTGGGGGTTTAAATTCTGTCTTTATATATTTAATTCATTTATACCCCACTGCTCTCCTCAGTGGGGACCCAAAGTGGCTTACATCATTCTCCTCTCCTCCATTTTATCCTCACTACAACCAGTGAGCGTGTGAGACCGGCCCAAGGTCACCCAGTGAGCTTCCATGGCATGAGTGGGGATTCCAACCTGGGTCTCTCAGATACTAGTCTGACACTCTTAACCACTACATCACATTGGCTTCCTTATCACTATGGGTTTTTTAAAAAATCTCATTGTAAATCCTGTTTCCCATAAACTAGAGACATCACACAGTGAAGCTTGTTATCACTGCAGCAATCCAAGCCATTAGCAGCATAAGTAGTCAATGGTTTACCCTGAGACGTCGCTTCAGGAACAGATTGAATCTCCTTCCAGTATTCTAGAATAACCAACAGGGAGTTAGCATGTGAGCGTACCATCCCCCCAAAATTAAGCCTGCAATTATTTGAAGCAAGGATATGGATACCATTTCCCCCTGCTAATAAGGGCCACTGCTGACAATTTTAAGTCCGTCAGAATAAACAGCATTTATTCAGGGGACAACTGTGCCAACATGACTTAGCACATTCGACATTCTTTTCCAAGAGGTATGTTCTGACAGTCGTAGGGAACAAGTTCAAATGGGGAAAAAATGTGATCAAAGAGATATCCACGGTATAATCACAGAAACTTGAAATCAAGTCTCATGATTCGAGTGGCTGAAAAATGTGCTACTGCTATCATGGAACGCATTTGCCAGGAAACTGCAGCTGAGTCCGTAGACACTATAAGCCACATGTTATGTTCTCCACAAAAAGACATCTCTGAAGGCAGTTATGATGTTAGCCTGTGTACAATTCAAATAAGGGACTGATCTATCTGTATGACAACTAGGAACAGCTTTTGGAAATTTGCATTGGCTGTTGGCAGGGTTCCTGCTGTCAACATGGAAATGTTCCATGGAAAGATAGACTTCCCATTTCTAGGGCTGCTTTCCATGTTTTCAGCTGTGACTATCAGACAAAATGAGGAGAAAGCTCTGCTTCACAGAGCTAAGAACAGTTGTGAAGACTCATCTTTAATTTCTGCCCTCAAAGTTCACCAGACTATGATTAGAATCAGACGCAGGGTTCTCCTTACTTAATGCATGAAAGTTAAAATCTAAGTAGGCTAAGTACAAATTTTTAGAACTTTAGTCCCTAGTCAATTCTTTAAATCCAAAACAAACAAAAAACTAGCCACTAATGACATGGTTAAAGAAAATAAACACTAGCAATGGTTTCACCAACTAAAACATGTTTACTGAAAAGGCTCTAGGAAAACAAAATTAACTTCGTTTCTCACAAATGTATTAAGATGGAAATATTTCCAGCATACGTGAAATACTGTAAGGAAAGCTTCCTGAGTGACATATTTTCTGTTTATCTTAGAAAATTGGCTAAAATTGGTGTATTCCCCCCCCCCCCGCAACAACACCTCATTCAAAGCTTCACAGCTTGATCAAACTCCAATTTATGGCGCTATTCAAATGCAGCAGCTGGGTAAACTGGAGAGTGTTTACTCCCCACAAACTGAGAGACTAAGCTAAGATTTAGCTTCCTACTTTTGGAGAGTAAACAAATGTTGATATTCCCGGCATCAGCATTCAGGCATTATCTGAGCTGGAATGTGGTCGTATCTGGAAATTCTGTATTAAGTTTCAGATGTGGAAGGAGTTGGAAAAGTAGGGGGAGTTTATAAACACAGCAAAAAAAACCTGTGTTCATGCCCAGTCTTAGTTTACTCACCACTTGTCATGAAGTCTGAATGCAGCCAGTATTTGTAGATTGCACAATTTCATCTCTTTGGCACAATACTTGGGTTGTCTTGGTGCATAATGCTGATTTCTGCCTACCATCACCATTATGGGCAGAAGGCATGCAATTCTAACTAAAAATAGCTAGTTGCTCAAGAAATTAATCCAGCCACAGTGAAGCACGTCTACATCTGCTGGAGATGTAAATAGTACTTAACATTGTTTGAATCATGCAGGTTTCTGCAAGTAGTGTTCATGAGATCTCTTTAGTTAATTCCACTGAAAACATGCTTATTAAAATGCAAAACAAAGAAAACTGGCTAATGTGATATTAGTTGCTGGGTTCCATATCTATGTCACAGTTAGAACCACACTCTAGTGCAATGATTCTCAAACTGTGTGCTGTGGCACACTAGAAGTCCCTTGAAAAACTGTCACACCCATCCCATTGTGACCTATGCAGAACTGATTCTACCTTTCTGTGCCAATATATGGACAATAATACAATCCCTAAAGAGAATAAATCATGATTCCCTTATGCAGCTTCCATAATTGGCAAGCAGAGACTCCCAGAAATGTCATTACTTCGAAAACACAGTTCCATCTGTAAGCCCTGAATGGTTCTGTGGGTAAGATATAAGATGCTACTCTAAAAATATAAAGAGGATGCTAGTTGTTCTTGTTACCAACTGAGACAGAGAGATTTAGATACAAGAATGAAGCATGCCTTGAATTTTAATTTAGAATAAACTGTGTCTGAGGTATCAATACTCCAGTAAATAATGCTACCACATGAATAGGAAATATGGGTGGGCGTGAACTGGAAAAATAGAGGTTCGTGGAAGTTTGTAATTTTCATTAACCCCGAAGCCCAAACTTCAAAAAAAATTCTCCATCGCACAAACCAGTTCTGGCTTTGGGAAATTCATGGGGCTGCAGCCCCACCTGGAAATGAGCTCTGAAGAAATTTCAGAACTCACTTCCAGTTGGGGGCGTGGCTGCGTAACAACCTGGAAGTGAGCCCCGAAGGTATTTAAATGCCTTTGGAGCCCACCTCCGGGTCGGGCCTGCCCAACCGAACTCTGAGAGTGAGCTCCAAAGGCCTTTATAGGGTGGCCCAACTCAACTCTGGGGCAAGTGATGCTCTGTCATCATGGTGCTTGGGGGGGGGGTCAACAGAGGGAGGGCCTCTAATGTCCTGGCCCCACTGGTGGACCTCCTGATGGCACTGGTATTTCTGGCCACTGTGTGATACAGAGTGTTGGACTGGATGGGCCTTTGGCCTGATCCAACATTGGCATCTCTTATGTTCTTATGTTCTTAAGAGTGAGTTCTGAAGGCTTTTATATGCCTTCGGGGCTCATTCTCAGAGCTCAGTCAAGTTGGGCTGCCCGACTCAAATGAGCTCCCCAAATGAGCTTCTATAAAGGCCCTTGGAGCTCACTCTTGGAAGTCACTTGAGCCAGCTGAACCCAGAAGTAAGCTTCAAAGGCATTTAAATGCCTTTGGAGTCCACATTAACCCTCCCATGGACTTCACAAACCTCCATGAAAAAACATGGAGGTTCGTGTGGCAGACTGTGGGAGAAATATTCTCCTGAACGCCTAGTTCACAAACCACAAACAGGCCTGGTTTATTTATCAGTTCGTGCCCATCCCTACTAGGAAATAAACCACAGAGCAGAGTTGCATAGGTATGGATGGTGTCAATGGCTCTCAATTAGAGAATGGCCCATTTGGACCCCTTTCGGAAAGTAACTTTTTTCCCAACATAGAGAAAAATGGAGGGGATGGGGCAACCTGTTTGAGGGCCACAGAATTGGACCCCCTGGTCCAAGGCTCTTCAAACTTGGTTGGTATCTTGGGGAGAGGCTACAGCAGCTACCCTCCAGGTTTGGAGCCTCTCCCTCAAGCCCCCTCCCCTCCAGCCTCAAGAATATATCCTATGTTTTCGCCATTGACTTCAATGGCCCATAGGATATAATGGGGCTGAAATTGACATTTGGCTAGCCAAGACTACCGAATTGGCTGGTACTGACGAAACTGACATGCGGGAGTCTTACTGCCAACCAAAATTGATTCTGCCCGATTCGGCCAAATCCGAATGGGCCAATTTTTTATTTTTTATTTGCACACCCCTACTTTCAATATGTTTCATAAGGAATAGTAAAAGGGTTGTAATCAGCAAATATGTTTCAGAAAAGGCTAACCCTTCTTCTAGACACTGAGGACTCCGGTGGTCCCTGCAGTATAGGGGTCCCATTAAATCAAAGATATTTCCATAGTCAAATCGTGGGAACCTAAATGTAAGTGTACTCTGAATGATCAAGGAAGTATGTTCATGCCTTTTACATCTCAAGTTCCTTCAACCAAGCTATATCAAAAATATGCTGCTTGAACATAAAGTCCTCCATATATTCCTTTTAAAATTAGGAAGTGATATAATTTTAAACTATAATATGTTGCCATATAAAATATAATACAAACTAAAAGCATTCATATCCAGATGTATTCATACTGACACTACAGGAAATTTCACCATAATCCTGTCAAGTGAAGTGGACACAATTATAACAGTTTCTATTTTAAAAGTATATATTGTTATCTTATGAAAACAGTGAACCAGAAGACTTAACTAGAACAACCCATTTCAACAGAAAATGTGTTAGTAACACCAATGCAAGCAAGAATGCCAAGTAAGATGTCAGTGGTCATTTGCTATAATTTCATTTTTAAGGCCATTTAGATGGGAAACTGGGAAGGGAGACTGCCTCAGAGCTCCATTCCGAGGTCCTGAATGGGCTAAGGGTGATAAGTGAAAGAGAAGAAATGTACACAGGTACAACTGTTATCCTGATATTACCAACTGAGAGCGAACGAAGATGTATTATATTTGCTTTGCAGTTTTCAGACTGATCAGTAGATATCCCCCTGTTCATCATTTCAAAGAGGCTTGTTCCTACTTAGTGGGAGTGGTCTATTCGTAGTTTGTTTATTTAGAAATAGCATGTGACTCAAACTGACCTAGATGATCATGGCAGTAGGAAATAAGCCAAAAGTTCTGTTAAGAACAGCAGAAAAGAACCAAACACAGAAAACAAATTCTTTCCACAGCAACAACAGCATACAATAAGAAAAGAAAAGTTTTCCAGTTTTCAGATTTCTAGTTGAAACTCTGCACAAGCTTTCTTTGCAGCAACTGTCCTTTTAATGATTTTATGGGAAGATATCTAATTCAACACAGAAGGGATTGAATGGTTTGGAAAAGCGCTGGTCCTTCTTCAACCACCCTTTACTGAAAAGTCAATCACTTATTTAAAAGAGGTATGAAAACCAGAGAGGCCCATATAACATACTGGATACACGCAGAAAGGTCTTAATATTATGGCCTGAAAGATGTATCTTCCCCCTTTTATTAACACCCAATCTGATTAAGAGTTTTGGAAAACTTGGAAAGTTACACATTGTTTTGGATAATTTTTCGTTGGTCCTAATTAAAGGTATCAGGTGGCTTTTATTTTTGAATTTTGCACTTGATCTCTTTCTGAACAGTCTGTAGTTTTGAAATCTAAATATAACAACTCAAGTTATCTTAGGAAAACTGGAAAATTCTTTTTTTCCTCACTCTCTCTTTTTGCTGCTTTTTGGCATATAGGAAGAGGAAACATCATTCATGCAGGGATGCATAGCTGCTACCACTGCTTGCTGCTTACCCCTTGAAGGTCAGAGATGAGTAATGTAGTCTCAGTGGTACTTAGGCCCTGCCAGTGGCATCATGGGAAAAATATAATGTTGTTAGTGTTGAGGAAAAAGCAGCAGGATGCTGTTTTCTTGAAGTAAAAAAAATAAGCAGCTATCATGAGGCATTGTGTTCACTTTGCTTTAAAAGCTTTTGTGAATAATACTGATATTAATTCCCAAGGAAAAATAGACACAAATAAATAAAATTAAGCCTTTTATCATATTTACTTCCTTGGATAAGACAGAAAACGTATGTCACAGTATATATGATTTACATGGTAGATTATTCCCTTTACATTTGCAAATATTTAGAAACTCCAATTTTAAGACGTAACCTTAAACAGTGTTTCAGCTTTCCGTTTAGGAAATAGCAAAAACTTGTTTGAGCTACGTATTTTAATCCAATAAAAGTTTCAGGATATTTTTAAAGTGTGAAAATTTTGCTCTGAGCCTTAAGCTGGAGCATTGTTTGTGCCTGGGTCGGTGGGAGAACAGGATAAGTCTGGGTAATTGTGCGCAGCATTGCTCTCAGCCAGTGGCTGTCAGGCAGCTTCCTGTAGCCCCACCCGTACTGGCCAGCCACTTCACTGGGGGAAGAAGGGGTGAGTGGACCTGAGGGTGGCAGGTTTCAATTTAGTCTGCCATGTAGGCTGGGCATTTGTAGCCTTCTGTCACCAGTAACCTACCATCCCATCACATCTTTTTGAATTCCTATTTCTGTTGTTGCTAATTTTCCTTTACTATGTCCACAGAGGGTTGCTACTTAACAGGACCAAAAAGAAATTTTACTGAAGGCTCTGATTGGCTAATGGGCCCTGGGGGTTTCATGTTCCCCATGGCAAAAAGGACATGCTATGTATGTTTGATTGTACTGTTTAAAAAGAGCATAACCGTAAATGCTGCTGGCGTTTAGGTATCAGCTGTCCCCTCTCCAGGCACAAAAGGCAGCTTTCTCAAAAATTTTATAATACAGTATTTTGTTTAGCTAAACAAATGCTTCCTGCAGTTGCTGTGATTTGGCAACTTTCTCTACACAGCCATTTTACCATGTAAATCAAAAATCCAGTGTGCGCATTATGAAGACCATGAATATGGTATGATAAGTAACGTATTAGCAAAGAGGAGCTCAAAATTAGTTGTATCAGCCTCTATGGTAATGCAACATCACAGTGCATAACAATACTGGCATCCAAGGCTGTGCATTAAAGTGCTACATGAAGAGTTATGAACATAAACATTTATGATTTCAGTGATAATTTTGAATATGGATAAAGTATAAGAAATGACATCATTAAATCTGCATATATTTGGCAAAATGCATTTGAGTTTATCAACAACATCAGTATATCAATGATAGCACAGTGGGGAAGTCTGATCGTGATCTCGAGCCTCAAATTAATTATACTGGCTTCAAGTTCACTTCTTGTGGGTTCAGCACGTAGCACAAACATTCAAAGAAATCATAAATCTCTGTACCTGCAAGCAAGTTTAATTAAAGTGAAATCATTCAGTAGATTCAATCAGGCTAAACTAATTCTAGGCAGAGCTGACTACTTGCATCACAATAATTTTTTACGCAAAATATGTAAGTCATAACAGTTTGGTAACAGCTCTTCCATAATTCATCTTGCATATTATAAAAACATGAACTGCTGTCAATACATTGGAATAAAATTAATAAAAACAGAATCAAAAACATTTGTACTACCACTAAGACTATTCTATTTTAAAGGGAATAATTTTTGAACCTGTGGCTATAAAAGTTGTTGTCCCTTAAAGAGAAGTTGACTGAAATTTTGTGAGGTAATTTTATCTATTTTTTTCATTGTCTTAATGTATTTTAAGGTTTTGTGTTGTATTTTTTATTACAATTGGGAGAGGTGGAATATAATTTATAATAAAAATATATTATTTTGAAATGTGAAGTTAAGTTTTGCTTTCAAGTAAACTCAGTAGATTGATGCTGATTCTTCACTTACAAGCAAAATTTCTGTTGTTAGCACAGATATGATTTGAGCTGACACTTTTCCCCCCAAAAGACAATTACATTAGTAGCTTGAATTTTCTTTATATTTCTTCAATTTAACATGTCTTCTGACACCTAGGTTCAAATTCAAAATAATTCTATGATAGTCCAGCCAGAATCCAAATACTTCAAAATAGTTGATCTCAATAGTTCAGAAGAAAAAAGCAAACAAAATCTCATGAACGTCATACAAATCCTTTTCAGGACCCAAGTGCTGATGTTCTTTGTTTGTTTTTAATTTCAGGCTGTGACCTTGAGATAACATAGAATTTATATTATGAAGTAGAAGCTGACAAACATCTTTAAATTACTGAGGCTGCTTTCATACAGTCAAATTCAATCACCACAATTTCCAAAAGATGAAAACAGAACTCTCAGTTTTCAGGACTTCCCCCATTTTTTAATCTGAGTCAAAAACATATCAAATGCCCTATTTCACTTGTATTTAAAGGTCAACTTGGGAGCTGAACACAAAATCAGGACAATCACAGGCTGCTTCTTTACTGGACCATCACATTCAGACTGAAGTTGGGGAGGTAAATGTTTCTGTCTCACCCATCCATATAATTCCCTGCAACTAAAAAATCTACAATGTATGGGACAATACTAGACATACTGGTTTTCTATGAGAATACAGCTTAAAAAACTAGGGAACCATTGAAGCATGGTAGACCACCACCTGTAGCCTGAAATCCAAGAGCCAAACTACATGATTCTCTTGATGGTGTAGTTTGGATCTTATTTGGGCTCATTCTCTCTATAATGATTACACTTATTGGATCATTTGCCCACAAATGCTACTATACCATTATCCCCAAATGCATATAACTACCAAAGATTCATATCATGAATAATTTCACTGCAGTAATAAGTGAACACAAATATAAATTCTGAGTCACTTAAAATAGTAAGTACATTATCGAGAATAAAGAAGAAATTGGTCTAACAATGCCAACATTTCAGAATATTGTTTTTCAGATGAATGGTCTAAGGTCAAATGTTTCAGTAGCTCAAATACAACAAAGCACTATGAGGATTACAAAGAAAACAGCTTTTTATTTTCTAAAAACATAACAAACACATTACATGCCACCTTCTGAGATCTTCAAAGAAATTTGTTTTAACAACAAATTTAACAGATTAAAAAAAGTTAAAAGTGCAGCATTTTTTCTATCACTTTATGTTAATTCTTACAGAACATGAATAACATTAACTTTGAGGAGCACTGTGAATTAGCAATTAATTCATTATTGCATTTCAAAGGATTGCACACAGTACAACAAACATATGGTTTTCTCAGAACCAAATCAAAAAAATTGAGTTGCTGTATTGAATCATTGATTAGTCCAATCCATTTTAGCAGATCCATGCGTATAAGCAGGCTTCTGTCATAAACTGATGTGAATCTAAATGTACACTGAAATTAGGGTGGACAAGTTCTGCCAGTTCCATTTTAGTAGTCTTCTGCCAGTGCCTCCTCATGCATTCCATCTTCTTTGGGATTTTTTAATAATTAATTTATGCATATGCAGATCCTCCCATTCATGTCATGTTCATTTTCCCCTTTGTATTTAAATTATGAGCGTGAGCAATTATGCAGCTTAAAGCACAATTTTTTTTGAAAAAAGCTCAGCAGCTACATTTAAGCTCCTTTACTATCCTTGAAAATACCTGATGAGTAATGCACACAAGGGAAAGTTTGTTTGAATAATGGTAGAAGAAACATAACGCCAAGCCAATTTCCCATAAGCACGTGCCTGAGGCAGTTCAACAATAAAAGCAATCCATATATAATCAAATTCCACCTAAAATGGTGGTTCTCGCGGTGTGACTCATGAACAGCCACATTCATCATTCCATCAACAGAAAGAGCCATATGATTTCTGTATGCCCTGTGTCCTACCCATCAACTACATGCATGTAATAATATTCAAGATGCAGATACTAATATTAAATACATAACCATGAGAGTGTGATGGCAAAACATGGAAGTAACGCTTCATACTGAAAGAGTGTTACAAATGGAGGCTCTAAGCTCGAGCAGCTAAGGGCACTCTGACTTTCTACTACAGATAGATTACTCCAGATAGGGCTCGGTGGGGGGGAAATCATAAGTCTTTAATAGAAGCTTAGTATGTGGAAATAGGCAGGCCAACTGACAACCCTAACTTCAGATGCCTGCTCTAAGCTAACCAGCAACAATCTCAGCAGGTGCTCAGAGCAGGGAAGCCTGCATGCCCTTTACTCCCCTTTGTGTACCAGGCTGGGAGGGAAGCAAACAGGCTGCCAAAAACAGCATCAACAGGCAGAGGTGACGTTGCACGCAATGTGCCTGCATCTCCCAGAAGTGACGTTGACACTGTGATGTCGGGGGTGACACTCTGGATTTTGGGCAAAACTCTATGCTTTGATGCTGATTTCACTACAGAGCTTTGCCCAAAATCCAGAGCGTCGGCACCGATGTCACCAATGTCTCTTTCTGGTGATGCAGGCACATTGTGTGTGATGTCACTGTTTCAGGGGAATGGGGGAATATCACTTCCCACTCCTGGAACGTCCCCCCCATCCCCCGTTAGTGAGTGAAAGGGACCTTGCAACCCCGTCCATACCTCAGCGTGTATACAAAATAACTTTATAAAGCTGTGTATCTGGCTGCAGCCAGGTACACATTCAACAAAAAACCCTAACACATGAGCAGGAATATAATACAAGAAGATATAAACAAAATATAAACATTCCAAGCAATTTCTGCCCTCTTATTTAAACATGTTCATGAATGTATCAATGTTTCTTTGACTCAAAATGTTTGAAATTAACAGGTGCATATCATTCAGCACTTTAAGATGCTTCAATTACACAGAGCCTCAATTTAACCTATGAAGTGTGAGGGCATGGCTCAAGCTTAATTGCTCATGTGAACGGCTTCACTGCAGGGGCGGGATAATGAAAATGGATGGCAGGATTGGAAAACTGCATATGCACAGAGATCTTTACAATGTCTAGAAATCTAAACTGGAAGAATAAAGGAAAACTACTAAATAGTTGCTAAAGTATAATCATGGCCAGATAAATGAGGCCCCTCTGAAGTTTGACATGAAATTTAGAGAAGGGGAATTTCAGAAATGTCCCTAATTTGAATGTACACCCAAGAACCGATGCTGTATATTCACATTTCATTTTTCTGCCACAGGATGGTTTCATTCTGATGCCATTAGCTATAAGTAAATAGCTTTTTAAAAGCACAATTAGAATGTAATTGAGGTATTTGTACCTAAAAGTAGGCTCCTACAAATCTTCTTTCCCATCCAGAGGAAAATCATATAAATTGTGCTACACATTTTGCTTGTAAGACTTTATTTTGCAGGTAAGGCAACACTGTGAGCAAGACTGGATGGCAGCTTTGCTGACTTCTCTGCCCTGCGCATATTTGTCAGAGAAGACACACTTGCCTGCTCCCAATTAGTGTACCAGCTCCACCTCTGAAAACACTGTTGGGATTCAATATACGAACTGGATGTACATACAAACAGACTGTACATTTGATTTGATAGTAAACTCCAGGAAAATCTGTGTGGTGTGTATAAATGTAGATTTGATCTGGCCATGAAGCCCCCATAAAGATATTCAGTGGTGGGGCAGGCACACTAAGTGAGCATAGGCAAGTGCATTTTCACTCTCCATCACAAATGGCAGTGCAATTGCACAAATAGAATCCCATTCAGCCCTTGCCATTATAGAAGAACAACCAACATACTAGTCAAAAGCTTGCATTCATGTATCACTTATCTGTAATAACAGAATACATAACTAAAGTTTGGTTCAATGAGAATAAGCAATTTACAGTTTCTAGACATTAAGATTTTTGGCTCTTTTTCAAAAGATATTCCTTTTCATTTACCACAACATTTCCTCCTTTTTCTTCAGTATAAAAATCATATTTTTACAATGCAATGTGTATCTGCAGCTGGATCATACCTCAGAATTACCAGGATGTTCTGAATCTGTGTTTGATATATTTTCAAATAAAGGTCCATTGACTTCTCCTCCTAAACAATATAAAAAGAAATATATTATTACCTCCAATGTATGCTTTCCTTTTTTTACACTTTCAAGGAAAACTAAAAAAAAAACAGTGACTGAACATTCAGGTTTGGTTCAGATGTCAGATGCCAATGTTTAATTAAACCAACAATCATTAGGGTAATCATCCAAATGCAAGCCACTCCATGATGGCTAATTATGTTCCATCAAACCAGAATTTGAAACCATGCTTTGAAATTGGTTTATTAACCAAAGTTGATCTTAACTATGGTTTTGCATACTGTATGAACATGGACATTTTGGATTAGCACTGGCTTGCTTCCCAGCACAGTCCTCGCTACAATGTGAACCAGGATACTAGCTAGGTCTATGCAGAAAAAACAAGGAAAACAGAAAAGATCTGAATGTCATGCATCCTACCACTTCACTAAGCAAAGTTCAAAACCTTCTTCCATGCCTTAAGAAGACTTCTTCCAGGTTAAGTGGCTCTTCATTCAACTGAAGAGCTACTCAAACTGGAAGAAGGAACTTGATCAGGAATTCAAATCCTGGTTTCAGTAACTAACCAAAGTACGTCTTAATACACCATAGTTTTATGTTATATCTAAATCAAACCATTCTGGAAGTGCCAACCTAACACTGGCTTTCTGTAACCCTTAATTATCTAAGATTAGTCTATATTACTTACTTGTATAGACTTGTATCAATCTAACCTAATGAAAAAAGTAAATGAATATAGATTTCCTTCACGAATCAGTTTTGTACCTTCAAGCCCAAATAATGCAATGGGCACATGTAATAACTGGTAAAACTTACACTTCCAGGTTGGAGTCTTGATGTTAACAATTTGATTATGGCCCCCAGATCTCAGATAACATTCATTCTTGCATTTAAAAAGACGGGGAAATGTCGGTAAAACAGATAGTATTGCTATGGTAACAGTAACCTCAGTTTTGCTACAGTGGTGTGTTAACAGTAAAAACAATGGGGGCAACATTACTACAGTGAGTGTAGCCTTGACCTAGGTAAAAACCTGGGCATATTTAAAAACAAACAAACAAAAGGGAGATGTGCAATCTAGCACTGGATATGTGTCAGCTAGCTGCCATGCTTTCATTCAACATTCAAAAACTAAATGAATAAATAAAATAAGGGTTCCTGTGGTGGCATGGAATGCTGCAGAATAAGGAAGAAACCTGGATTCCATTGCCCCCTTTTATGTGATAAATGAGTATATCATAAAGCGGTTATTTTTCAATGTACTGTGCATGTTATTGCATGTGGGGATATTATCACAGCCCTTGCTGTCAGTAATGTCACAAGCACTGGGTAATCAGGGCCCCTGCCAGTCAGCAACAATGTATATTTTTCTAACAGAATAACTCTTTTACTGTATCTCTATAAGGCTTATTTAATATTCTTGCAATGACCTTCTAAAGTGTCCTAAAAATCCTAAAGAAGTCATGTGCAAGTGATGGAAATACAATTTTTTTTTTAAGTGTGCACTATATATAACCAAAAGGGGAAAAGGGTGCTTCAGATCACTTGAAATTATTATTTTTCCTTCATCTACAGGCTACTCCATTAAAAATGTAATTAGCATTTAAGAGTGCAATTAGCCCAAATCAGGAGCCAGCGCAGATGGTCCAAGACTCGACTGATACCATCCCTATGACCCACTCCACTGAACTTCCCGGCTGCAGCGCTCTGTATCAATGAAAGTTTCCAAACATTTTACAAGGACAGCCCCACACAGACTGCACTGCAGTCATCTAATATACATGTCAACCAGGTCATTCACCACAGGGGCCAGATCTTTTCTGCCCATGAAACACTGCAGCTTTCTAAACAGTCAACGCTGGTGAAGGACACTCCCATCATGGCCACCACTTGCTTGTTCAGCAGTAGGCCCAGGTCCAGAAGCGCTCTCAAGTTACAGACTTACTTGTTCACGTCAACGTGTTCATGTCATGCTTGTTTTATGTCAACAGCTTCTTCATTTTTCAAAGTTTTATGAGAAACTGCCTGGTCTAATAGCTTATGATTTCCAAGAAGAAAATCTTACAAAAGTTGTGACTGTTCTGAAAACTTTAAGCCTACCTTGTTGCTATCCATCGTACCTGTCTAGTGACAAGCCATAGCATGAGTATTCAGTGTTCTACAGCATGCCTATGTGACATATGAGGACCATAATATATTTCTTGTGGGCATGGAAGCGTCGATGCATACATAAATGCCTATGGCAACAAAGCTATCTTAGCACATTTCCTTCTATTTAAAAGCTTTATCTCCAAGAAGCAAAAATCTGATAATCTGAGCAGCACAGTAGTCTTTTAGAATTTTAAAACTAATGACAGCTTTCAGTTAAATAAGTTTCTAACCCTTATGGTTACAGAAACAGGTTTGGGAAATATGACAGCGAAACTAATCATATCCTAGGTTTTCTTCAGTATGAAAAAGTATAAACATGGGTTTCCGGTTTTCGGTGTGGTGGTGGCGGACCAGCTCCAGGAGCGGTCCCATGAAGCTGAGCCGGAACACCAGGTTTAATGGGGGATTCAAAGTCTTCTGCCCCCCCCCCTGGATTCCTTGAAGAGGGATCTGACTGCAAGGGGCTTGATCCTGGACTCTCTGTGAGTGGCGGCAAGCGGATTGAGACCAGGATCACCCTGAAGCCCAAACCCAGATGAGAGCAGCTGTGGCTCTTCCACAGCTGTGGAGCCGTGACTACTGGGACAGAGGGAAGCAGCATATCAACCACATCTGAATCATCAAAAAGTTTTTACACCGTGAGTACTTGGCAAAGTACAGCAATGGAAAGGGACTGTGTTTATATAGCTCCTTAAAAGACTGGATGCGTGGGAAGTAGTCTGCCGCTCCCACCCGAAACAGCTATCCAAAGTAGTGAATTGGCATTTGGAACATTTTTTAAAGGGCTAGAATGAGGAGGAAAAGGTGGAAGTCTGGGAGTAATTTTGGATTTAATACTTTACTTTTTAATTACTATTTTACTCACCCTGACCCTGTGGATTACAAAATTAAGAGTTTGGAGAAGCATGGGGATGGCTCTGATTTTAACACTTTTGGGATTACAATTGGGATATTTCTGAAGATATACAATTGGATTACAGTTTCATCTACTGCCTCATTTGGAATATAAATAGAGATAAAGAGACTACACTGTCCATCATAACAGAAGAAAGAAGAAAGAAGTGGAAGGCGGTTGTGGACTGGGTTGGTGCTTGCTTTCACTTCCTGAATGTCATTTCTGTGTAAGAGAGACTCTAAATTTGGAACTGTTGTGTCTTTGAGGGTTGTTATCTTGTTCTTTTGAAAATATAGTCTGCACAAAGTGTAATACAAACTACTGATAACTGCTCTTTGTGATTACATTAACTGCTAGGGTGTTTATGGACAACTAAAAAGGGTCCTTTTTATTTTCCCTCTCCTTCTCTTACCTGTCTAATAGAGTATTTAGTAGTAAAAGGGTGTTACTTTAATTAGAGGTACAATATAGAATACAGAAATATGGATAAGAAAGGGAAACTTCCCCCTTCTACCATGTCTCCTGGTCAAACGAAATCTGTTTCTGCCACCTTAGCACAGATTTCAGTAAAAGAATTGAAGACTTTAATACAAGAAGCAGTAGCTGCAGCTGTTAACCCTGTGCAAACCAAATTGGACTCCCTATCACTGCAGATGACACAGCAGATGACAGAAGTACAAAAACAGTTAATGGATAATAGACAAGAGTTGTCCACCTTGGCCAAAACAGTTAACCAGATGGAAGACAAATCTGAGAAGATGCACTTAAAGGTGGAGAAAGTAGAATCTAAACAAAACTATATGGAGGAGGCCCTTATTAAACTAGAACTTGATAAAGCAGCATATATTTTAAGATTTCAGAATGTACCAGAGAAAGAGGATGAAGAGTTGATAACTGAAATGGCACAGGCACTTGCAAATTATACGGGTGCAGAAAACCCAGATGAAATATACAATGCAACTGATGTGGCCTACAGAATGAATTCCACCTATGTAAGAAGATGCAGTCTACCAAAAGAAATACATGTGAGATTTAATAAAAGAATAATAAGAGATGCTATCCTCAATGTAACAAAAGAGACATCCTTCCAAACAGAGGAGACAGAAATAAAAATCTTAAAGGAAATTCCTTGGAGAGTGGAGAGAGAAAAGAAGAGAATATGCAGAACTTACAAACATCCTTAAAAAGAATGTTATCTCATATAGATGGTTGTTTCCAGAAGTCTTACTCTTTTCTTACAAAGGAAAAAGATATAGAATCAATTCTACATTTAAACTGGAGGATTTTATTAAATCACATGCTGAAGACCTGAATATGGAGGAAAAAGAAATGCAAACTGATGAGACCCAGCAAGAAACACAAGAAGCGTCTGGAATAACTACAACAACTCAAATATCTAAGATGATTGTACCATCCCAGAGGATCACAAGATTTAAATTGAAGCATAAAGGTGATGACAAAACCCAAAATAAAGACGGATAGAGGAAAAATAAAAATAATTTCAATAAACATTAATGGCTTAAATGCACCTTTAAAAAGAAGACAAACTTTTCAACAACTAAAGAAGATGCAATTGGACATTATATGTTTAGAAGAGACTCACATAAGACATTCAGACCAGAAATATTTGGAGATTAAAAAGCTTGGGAAGAACTTTACAGCTTCAGACAAAGAAAAAAGAGAGAAGTAGCTATATACATCAAGGAACATTTACATCCAGAATATATAGCTCAGAAGATGGTAGTATTTTAATGGTTCAAGTACAAAGGCAAGGTAAAATAACCTTAATAGAAAACATATATGCACCTAATCAACATCAAGAATTTTTTTTTTAATCACTTCAGGAACTTATTTCCCAACAAAATTATGAGGAGATCTGTTTGACTGGACATTACAATGCTGCTTTTGATACTTTTGGGTAGAAAAACAGCAACTGGAAAACAAAAACAAGGTAATAAA